ATGCTAACATACAAAAATGGACTCAGAAATCTCTACCCAAGAAATATGTGCTGATTGGTGTACTCTTGAACTCTAAAAAGTACATAATTTTTAGCTCACCTGTCACAAAGTGACAGGGTGAGCTGTTGTGATCACTTTTCGTCCGGCGTCCATCCGTAAACTTTTACTTTAAATGACATCTCCTCATATACCACTAAGCCAATTTCATCCAAACTTCACAGGAATGTTCCTTTGGTGGTCACCTTTAAAAGTTGTTCAAGGAATTTAATTCCATGCAGAACTCTGGTTGCCATGGCAACCGATAGAAAAAACTTAAAATATCTTCTTTAAAAAAACCAAAAGAGGTAGAGCTTAGATATTTGGCATGAAAAATCTTCTAGTGAGTGTCTATCAAATAAAAGCCCTGGGGTCAAAATTGGCCCTGCACCGGGGGTCATTGATTAAAAAAATTAAAAAATCTTCTTTTAAAGAACCCAAAGAGCAAGAGCTAAGATATTTAGCATGAAACATCTTCTAATGGATGTCTACGAAGTTTGTTCAAATAAAAGCCCTGGGGTCAAAATTGGCCCCGCCCCAGGGGGTCATTAATTTTCTCTATATGCATATAGTAAAAACTTAAAATATCTTCTTTTGGAGAACCCAACGAGCTAGAGCTAAGATATTTAGCATGAAACATCTTCTAATGAGTGTCTACCAAATTTGTTCAAATAAGAGCCCTGGGGTCAAAATTGGCCAGCCCCGGGGGTCATTGATTTTCCTTATATGTGTATAGCAAAAACTTAAAAAATCTTCCTTGAAAAAACCCAAATAGCTAGAGTTTAGATACTTAGCGTGAAACATCTTCTAGTGAGTGTCTACAAAGTTTGTTCCAATAAAAACCCTGGGGTCAAAATTGGCACGCCCCGGGAGTCATTGCTTTTATTTATGTGTATAGCAGAAACTTAAAAAATCTTCTTTTAAAGAACCCAAAGAGCTAGAGCTAAGATATTTAGAATGAAACATCTTCTAATGGATGTCTACGAAGTTTGTTCAAATAAAAACCCTGGGGTCAAAATTGGCCCCGCCCAAGGGGGTCATTGATTTTTTCTATGTGCATATAGTAAAAACTTAAAAAATCTTCTTTTAAAGAACTCAAAGAGCTAGAGCTAAGATATTTAGCATGAAACATCTTCTAATGGGTGTTTACCAAGTTTGTTCAAATAAAAGCTCTGGGGTCAAAATTTGCCCGCCCCAGGGGTCATTGATTTTCCTTATATGTGAATAGCAAAAACTTAAAATATCTTCTTTGAAAAAACCCAAATAGCTAGAGTTTAGATACTAAGCATGAAACATCTTCTAATGGGTGTCTACCAAGTTTGTTCAAATAAAAGCCCTGGTGACAGGTGAGCGACTTCAGGGCAATCATGGCCCTCTTGTTTTAAGTATTATTATCTAAGCTACATCTATGATTAAAGTCATCAGCTGTTATAATCTTTATTTTTGGATTTAGCGAGTGAAGATTTTGTATAAGGAGTAAACTGTAAAGGAACATTTATGTAACTACAGTGCCTATCTGAGGTTAGAAAAAGACACATTGACTGTTAGTAAACTACTGTTAAATAAACATATTCTATTTGTCTCTTTTAGATATTGCTGTGAAAAATGATACATGTGCTTAAAATATCTTTGTATGGCTAAAGAGGGAGTTATTTTTTTCTTTTGTCAATGAAATGTTGTCACACTCAGACTTTATAAATATGACATTATCTTATATAAAAACAATATGGACTTTGTTTGGGCAAAAAAATGTTTTAAAATTTTGATAGAAATATTTTTCAGATTGAAAGAGAATTACTTACAAAACATGCTCAGTCACATTAATGTTTATTTTATCAAGAGATGAGTAAAATTGAATTTGTGACAATTCAGCTATGAAATTTTGCTATTTTTGTAAAGTTGTACATGTATTTGATACAGTGAGTATGAAAAGCAGCCGCCACATTTCTTAACACTGAGTTTACAAAATAGGACTATTCAAGCTAGAAGTGGCTAATTTTTAAATTTGATTTATTTAATTATTATTGGGACAACTTGTTACGTTGAAGTTTAATTTCATACCAAGATGATCTGATTACTTTATATTATTTTTTGATATAGTGAATATGGTAAGCAGCCTCCACATTTCCCTACACTGGATGACTTTGCTGTGTATTTGGAGGGACTTAAGAAAAAAGCAGCTACAATGCACCCTGAGTACACCCAGAAAGATATGAGGGCATTTGAAAGGGAGTACAGACAAGAGTTTGTAGGAAGATATGATGATCCGATTGCTGCATTTATTGACCATCATGCTGTCAGATTGGGGCTTGCTTTACCTGATGAAATAGGTAGGTATTTAATCTGTAACCAACTGAATTTGATAAATGGTTTTGCCATTCTTTGACCTTTGAACAGGCTATTAAGAGTAAAAGGGATTTCAGTGTGAAATAACAAAAATTGAGCTACTAACAGTATAGAAACTAGTCAGACTATATAAATATGCAAGCTGGCCTGGTTCTATACTGGTGGCAAAGGCTGAACACATGGGGTAACTGTAGATTAGAGGTTAATATACTGTATAGAAGATTGTTTTTAAGTAACATTTTTGCGATTAATGGGCTGAAAATGGATATTTTCCATTGCATACTGAAAAGAAAATGTTAGACATGAATCAGTGAGAACTTTATCAAGGGAAAATTCAAACAAAAGATAAAGCAGTAAATTTAAAAAAAAGACAAAAAAGATGAATAAGAATATCCAGAGGGAACAGTTTATGATGGAATAATGAATTTTTAGCTCACCTGTCACTTTGTGACAGGATGAGCTTTTGTGATCGCTTTTCGTCCGGCGTCCGTTCGTCCGTCTGTCGTCAGTCCGTCCGTCGTCCGTAAACTTTTACTTTAAATGACATCTCCTCATAAACCACTAAGCCAATTTCATCCAAACTTCACAGGAATGTTCCTTTGGTGGTCACCTTTGAAAATTGTTCAAAGAATTTAATTCCATGCAGAACTCTGGTTGCCATGGCAACCAAAAGAAAAAACTTTAAATATCTTCTTCTAAAAAACCCAAAGAGCTAGAGCTTAGATATTAGGCATGAAACATCTTCTAGTGAGTGTCTACCAAGTTTGTTCAAATAAAATCCCTGGGGTCAAAATTGGCCCCGCTCCAGGGGGTCATTGATTTTCCCTATATGTATATAGTAAAAGCTTAAAAAATCAAATCTTCTTTTAAAGAACCCAAAGAGCTAGAGCTAAGATATTTAGCATGAAACATCTTCTAATGGGTGTCTACCAAGTTTGTTCAAATAAAAGCCCTGAGGTCAAAATTTGCCCCGCCCCAGGGGGTCATTGATTTTTCCTATATGCATATTGTAAAAACTTAAAAATCTTCTTTTAGAAAACCCAAAGAGCTAGAGCTAAAATATTTAGCATGAAACATGTTCTAATGGATGTCTACCAAGTTTGTTCAAATAAGAGCCCTAGGGTCAAAATTGACCCCGCCCCAGGGGGTCATTGATTTTCCCTATATGAATATAGTTAAAACTTAAAAATCTTCTTTTAAAGAACCAAAAGAGCTAGAGCTAAGATATTTAGCATGAAACATGTTCTAATGGATGTCTACCAAGTTTGTTCAAATAAGAGCCCTTGGGTCAAAATTAGCCCCGCCCCGGGGACATTGATTTTCCTCATATGTGTATAGCAAAAACTTAAAAATCTTCTTCAAAAAAACCCGAATAGCTAGAGTGTAGATATTAAGCATGAAACATCTTCTAGTAAGTGTATACAAAGATTGTTCAAATAAAAGCCCTGGGGTCAAAACTGGCCCTGCCCCAGGGGTGTTATTGTTTTTAAATATATGTGTAAAGAAAAAACTTAAAAAATCTTGTTTTAAAAAACCGTACGAGCTAGACCTTAGATGTTTAGCATGAATCATCTCTAATGGGTGTCTACATAAAAGCTCTGGGGTTTAAACTGGCCCCGCTCCGGGGGGCCTATATACAGGTGAGCTACTTCAGGGCCATCATGGCCCTCTTGTTTTTAAAGCGTGGTGTAATGTATAATAAGAAGAGCTCCATGTATTGAAATCCGTCTGTAACAAACTGTTGGGTAACATTTTTATGATTTATACTATAATATTTTTTATTGGTGTCTTTCTTAATCATTTCTAAGTTCATGAATTTTTGTAACTTCAGAACAGAGACCTTTGGTAAGACAAGTTATAAGAGACAGAAACATTGAACACAGAGGAAATAATGTTACAACAAAACAAAGAGGGGGAGGCAAAAAAAAGCAGGTTTGACACATTTCATGATAATTTTCTCTATTTTCATACAACATTTAGACATTGACAACACAGTATATGAATAAAAATGATTTCATTCATTCTTACAGATTGGCATACTAAGTTAAAATTTTGTTGACTGTAGGAAGAAGAAATATCAAAACATAATTAAAGGAAGTGACTGCCCTTAATTATTATCTTTAAGTAAAATTTTATAAGAAAGAACCTTTTTACTTCCTCTATGTAATTTATTAAGAAGTGAAATTGTAACTGAACTAAAATATACATGAAGATATGTTTCTGTGACAGGGGAAATACTGTGATGATTGTGAGGAGGCATTGGCGGAGGTTTACTGCGGAGAATGTCAGGGAGGTCTAGCAATGTGTCGTTCATGTTCTAATGTCCTCCATGCTGGGGCTTCAAGGAGGAGACATAACTTACAAGGTATTACTTGTTCACTTTATCAGAAATAATTTCAAATGTACTCTTTTTTAGTTGTTAGATATTTGAGATCCTTTTTAGCTCGACTTTTTTTTGTTGGAAAAAAAAAGTAGAGGTATTGTTATAGTCCTGGCGGCGTTGCCGTTTCCATTAGCCTTGCCGTCCGCAAACTTGTACCTGGATCATAACTTTTTTAGTTCTTGGTGTATTGTCTTCATACTTGGCCACAACAACCCTTGGGACAAGACGTTTCAGTAGACCACTCTAACCTTGACCTTCATCCATAAATGTCCTCAAAAGTCCAAATTTTGCTTGCTCTTGCTATTATTGGCTGTAACTTTGTTATTTTTGAATGAATTGTCTTCAAACCTGAACATAATAATCTTCAAAGATATCCCTTAAAAATAACCAGACAGACCTTGACCTTCACTCATAAATGACCTTGACTTTAAAAGTCAAATTATTGAAATTTTCATTATTTTGGCTATTATTGGCTGTAACTTTGTTATTTTTGAATGGATTGTCTCCAAACTTGAACATAAAAATCTTCAAGGATAACCCTTAAAAATAACCAGACAGGCGTCAACATTCACTCATAAACCTAGTCTTTGAAGGTCAAATTATTGAAATTTTCATTTACTTTGGCTGTAACTGGGTGTAACTTTGCTATTATAGAATGGATTGTATTCATATTATAACAGAACATTCTTAAGGAAAAGACCTTCATGTTTATCAAACTCAAATTTACTAGGGCTCTTTAATGACCTTGACCTTGAAGGTTAAATTACTGAATTTTCACTTATTTATGCATTAAATGACCATATACCTTGCCCGCCCGGCAGTGGCCCTTTTTGATTTTCTGTATAGAAACTATTTTATATGTTGGGTAGTATGCTGTAATCTGTATGTAAATACTTAATGATTAAAATAACATATAGAAACATTTTCACTGTAATTTTAATTCAATATTTTTATACAGATATTGACCAAGCCCCTAAAAGTGCTAACAAGCCATACATACCAAGGGTAAGTTTCATATTGCAATTTGAGGTACAAACAGTGTATGATTTAATTTGATGTTATCTAAATCCATACAATATTATGTTTATTGTGAAGACTTGAGAGGTTATATTTCATTTCTATGACTGTCAATTGGCAGAAATTAGAGGAATATGAGTGATATGGTGAAAGTTTTATTTAGTTTAAATTTTTTTTTGTTCAAGATAGTGCAGCTTTACATGTAAGGTTATTGCCAAACTTCTGAATTTCATTCACCTGAGTTTTTTTTCTAACTTCAGGCTTTCCTTGCACCATTTTCCATAGTGCTGGCAATGTTCAGGTAAAGTTTATATTTTTTAAAATGCAGATTGACTGATAAAGGGGAAGGATGCAGAATTTATCATACAAGCTAAATGCCAGTCCCACTACTGTAAAATTTTGGTTCTTTGTCTGATTCCTATTAATTACCATCATTTTGTCCCAGCTAATGTTTTTTGAGATTATGAATATACTTTGAATTCAGTATAATTTCTTTGAAAAAGTCTTAATTCAATACAGATGTATAGTATAGTATAAATAACAGGCAAGTTGGGGGTGTGATCAAGTAGTCCATGTGTCATACTTGTAATCTAAGGATTGCTGGCAGTATGGGTTAAAACCCTGTAAGTGGCAAGCTGTTGTTGCCTTGAAAATTTACACACATTGCATAGTAGTCTTTGGTTTCAGGAACAGATATGAGTTTATCTAAAGCTTATAGCTAAATTGAACTGAAATAAATTCTGTATAAACTACTTTATCGGGTCATTAAATTAACAAGGAGCAGTCTAAAGCAGAGGAAATTACATGAAGTGAGGTTGTGAAAAATGCGACCTATTTGTGAATATTTTGACACACACTGATGCTCTATTCTTTTGTATGAAGTAGGCATATTACAGAGGGAAGCATCTTTGATACCTTTATTTTTTTTGTTTTTCAGTGCATTATCAAGAGATTCAATACTGAGTTTGACAGAAGAAGAAATAAAGAAAAGAGCACAGCCTCTTACTGACACAGATTTACAAGATAAACAAGCTGGTAGGTGACCAAGATTTTCTATAAAATATTCTCAGTTGCATAAGATTGGTACAGTAAACTCCGCTTATAACGATATTCAGGGGACATACAAAACTATATCGATATATCCGAATATCGTTACAACCGAATTTCTGTACGGTGTGTAGCTTACTGACGATGCACTGCATCGTTCAACATGTATAAGCAGTAGCATTATATACTAGACATGTGACAATCATGTACTTACGACAAAACTTTATTCTTTTTATGCATTTATGTAATCATCAAAAGAAATGTTTTTGTCTATGTCACTGAATACTCTAAGGCGATTCCATTTCGATGCCAATTCAGCCAGCGGAATGTCAATGTCCTCGAAGACGAATCGGAAACATGCCCCTGCGGGGTCGCATTAATTTCATGCTGTGCTTGATTCATAAATCCAGCCTTTCTAAAACAATTCTGGATACACGTCGGTGTTACATCTTTCCATGCCGCATAAAACCATTGTATGGCTTTTAGAATGTTAATCTGTTTATCGATATGTTTGTCTAACCATGAAATAATATGGTCAAGGACACGTGACCTGTAATGCCTTTTGAATAAAAAGATAGTCCCTTGATCACAGGGCTGTAACTTAGATGTAGTGTTAGGTGGGAAAAACAACAGTTTTACAGCTTTTAATCCCTCGATTTTCGGATGGGCCGGGCAATTATCAACAAACAATAGAATAGATCTTTTCGCACGTGTCATACGTTTGTCAAGTTTTTTCACCCAACTGATAAATATTTCTGAGTTCATCCAAGCACGACGATTAGCTTCGTAATCTACCGGCAAACTTTTAACATTTTTAAAACATCTAGGATTTTACCAAGATTAATCTCTTGAATTAATTCATATTTAGTTTCAATATCCAAAATTTTTCTTTTTCGTTTTTCTGACATGTTCACTGTTTTAGCTACATGTACATGTATAACTTATTTACAACGAAAATTGTTATTGAAAGGAAACAATAAAAGGACAAAACCATGTTTTTTATTTTTTGAGATAAATTCACCTGTATTGAGAACAAAACGGTAGTTACGTACGCACAGAACATGTTCCGCGTCATTGTATTTAATCGAGCAGATATTTATGCATTAAAACAAGCGGACCGAGACCGCTCTTCCACAACAAACTTGTGATGCAAATTATCGTTTTAAGAGGTAATATATGTGCTTTGGGGTTGAAAATCCACATCGATATATCCGAAATATCGATACATGCGATATCGATATATGCGAGGATGCTTCCGTTAGGTTATAATGGAAGTTGGCAGGGACCAAGACAAACGTATCGATATAACCGATATATCATTACAAGCGATATCGATACAGTTGGAGTTTACTGTATTCTTTTTTTTTATTAAAAAAGAAAAAAAGGTTAGTGCATATTTTTGTAATACATCAAGAAATCTTACAACATAATGTAAAACTAAGTTAAGAGTGTACTATTGAGAATGTACTATGTTGATTATGTAAGGGAATGTATGTAATGGTTATGTTGCATGGTGAATGTTTCCTCTTGTCTTGCAAATAAATGTACCACTGTATATAAAATTAACCATGGAGAATCTTTCCTGTATCTCTTGTAGTGGAGTTATAAAAGGGATAATATAAGCTTATCTTGAGCTGTAACATGCATTTGACTTGAGTGGATTTTATTAGGACAGGATCCCACTAGGTGCTGTAGTGCCAAATGTGATACATTCCAGTAAAATTCATAGGAGTCCTATTTTATTACATACTTTGATGAGTTTAAACTACAAATTCAACCATATCATAATTGATGTATCACCAGCTATGTCATTATATATCTCACTCCAGATACAGATTTTTTTCTGTTGCATTGTATTTGTGCATGCTATAAATGCATTAAATGTAGAAAAAATTGAGTAAAAGCACTTGATAAAAAGTTATACTGATGAGAGAGTGGACTCAGTATTTAGAAAAATCACAGAAGAGAGTGTGAATAAATAATATATCCTAAAGAGTGATTTTATTGCTAAATAAAATCACTGTTTGGAGTTCGGATGCAAGGAATTACATCACAAGGGCATAGCCCGAGTGATATAATGATGCACATCCAAATGACAAACAGTAATTTTATCAAGCGATAAAATCACTGATTTGGATATATTACAGTCAACTATCGTTATCTCAACATCGCTTTTCTCGATATTTCGTTATCTCGATGAAGTTTTGAAAGTCCCGATTTTCTTCCTTCTTTATCTTTATTGGAAATATTTGTTTATCTTGATATTTTTATTTCGATATTTTCAGTATCTCGATGTACAATTTCAGCCCCAATATTTGTTTTCACACTATTATCCTTTGTTTATCTCGACTAATAGTTTTCTTTCGTCTGTTCCCTTCAGGCGTGTGAAAAACACAAACTAGACGATTATTGCTCAATAGCGCGTGCCATAATGATGATTATGTTTGTAACATGTTTAGCTATTTTTATAAAAATTAATCTATTTAGCGTGTTGATTGACTTATGTCCAAAATGAGTGAATTTTACGTTCTTTATAAATATTCGAACATTGTATCAATTCATTGTGACTTTAAATGTAAATGAAATAGTGCAAGTATAGAAACGCTATCGTTGCAATATTGTTTCACAACATCACCACCAAATCAATCAGCGGTCCAACAACCACGAGAAAGACCTGATAAATAACCTGGGAGGATATCCGGACAATGTTTTCACTTTGTTGGTGTATTACTGAGTAAATCTCACCATGTGTTTTTATCACATAAACCCGTATTTCCGCTGGTAAACATCCGCTAATGTTACTTTGTTAAATATTGACTAGGCCTATGAAAACAAGATATGGGGATATCATAGATTATTTGACATAAGGTATGCACATTTCTTTTGAAAAAAAATCAATTTCTTCCTTATTCAAAACCTCATATGTTTATCTCGACGTTTCGTTATCTCGATATTTTTTTGACGGTCCCGATGACTTCGAGATAACGAGAGTCGACTGTATTTCAATTCTAACACAAGATCAAAAAAATAAATGCATCTGTAACTGATTTGTGTCCGTACTTATTTTCAGTGTTACACAATATCATGGTTACGTCACAGTCTCATGTCTAAATATAGATCATCAACAGTGATTTCATTGCATAATAGTACACACTTTCAGTCCTTCTATGTTCAACAGGGAAAAATGTGGATCATGTTAGAAAATCTTATATTTGTACCACATTCTGTATATAATTATAGGAAAGTATGTGGGAGGATTTGATTGTATGGAGAATGTACTCATGAATAAAGGTCTGGTGAAGAAAGAAGCTGCTAGGGTCCCTACGTAAGTAGCTTCTTATAGGATTGAATTGTAGATGTGACTTTTAATGGATATTTTTAAGGTCTTTATAAGGCTCAATAGAAAACATTATATGGCAAATAGAAACAGTTTGGTCTGCAATAACTGTATCCATCAGTTTGACACAAGGGACCTGGTGCAACATTTGTTTCACAAAACAATATATTGTATTTTGTATCTGAAAGCCTAATCTTGTCAGTATACAAATTGGAAGCTATTTGATATTATAATTGACAGTGCCAAAGAAATTTTTTTCCAAAACTGTTTAACATTTTGAAACTAAATCAGAACTTATCATTATATCATTAATAAATGGTCTTACTTTCCAATATAATTTATCATTAATGTTTGGTCTTACTTTTTAATGTAATTTATCATTGTTTGGTCTTACTTTCCAATATAATTTATCATTATTTTTGGTCTTACTTTCAATATAATTTATCATTATGTTTGGTCCTAGTTTTCAATGTAATTTATCATAAATGTTTGGTCTTACTTTTTAATGTAATTTATCATTATGTTTGGTCTTACTTTTTAATGCAATTTATCATTGTTTGGTCTTACTTTCTAATATAATTTATCATTAATGTTTGGTCTTACTTTTTAATATAATTATCATTATTGTTTGGTCTTACTTTTTAATGTTATTTGCCACAGTTATGCTTTGTCAGCCAGTGGCCAGGTGCTAGGACAGAAGTTGTACATATTTTACAACCAGTTTTATACCTTCATGGAATCCTGTAGGCTACCAAAGATCCAAAACACTGACAGGTAAATTTAAATCATTTCTAGATTTAGTATTTAAGCCTGTCTTAATATGTAATTTGCAAAACTTTAAGCTTTGAAAGCTTCTTTGTAGATAAAATGATATCCCAACATTTCAATAAAAAGAAACTTCCTAAGCAAAATCTTGTAAACCGCAAATTACTTACATACTCTGTATTTTATTTGATACTGTAGTATTTTTCTTTATTTTTAGACCATTTTAACCCTTTCACTGCCATAGGGACAGCATATGCTGTCCCTATTATTTTCAGCATATTTGCCATATGGACGGCTTTTGCCCTTTCTATAATAATAATAATAATTATGATAATTATAATTATAATAATAATAATAATCATAATAAATATATAGATAATTATACCACCAACAATAATTATTATTATACTAGCAGATTTGGGAACATATATAATTATTATAATACAAATAACAAATAATAATTATTTATAATAATTAATAATATTGTAATTTCTTAGAAAACCTTCTGGCAAATAGGTGATCAATAAATAAATAACCCTCTGGCAGCGAAAGGGTTAAGGATACAAAACTCAAGCATTATATTGTCATTTTTGCATTTGACATTTACTCCAATATTGATATGAATTTCAAAAGCCAAAATTTGAAAAGTATATTTTATAAGCAAAAATCTCTTTTAATGAAATGTAAAATTTTAGCACAAGTTTGGATGTTTCTGTATTTATGATGATTAATTGATACAATCTCTTTTAATAAAATGTAAAATTTTAGCACAAGTTTGGATGTTTCTGTATCCATAATGATTAATTAATACCATCTCTTTTAATGAAATGTAAAATTTTAGCTCAAGTTTGGATGTTTCTGTATTTTAAATGATTGACTAATACCTTACTCTTTTAATAAAATGTAAAAATCGCAAGTTTGGATGTTTCTGTCTTTAAAATGATTAATTAGCACCATCCCTCTCATTGTTCTTTCAGCGGAAGTTTCAGAACTGGAGTGATAAACAATAGAAAGTTGTGTTTGATCATAGATGAGAATGAGAGAGATAAACAGAGATTGTTAAGATATGCTAAAGAGAAGAATATAGATGCCCAGGTTCGACTCCTTCCTGCCGGCGACTATATCTGGGTCCTCACTCCACCTATGATAGACACTAGTGTAGTTTATACAGGAAAAGATTATGGGAATGAGATGGTAAATGAATTATTATTGCTTTAACACTAATTGTTACACCTTATGTCTAAATTTATAAGAGCAAAAGAAGTTGAAATAACCTTCACTTTTTCACCCGGAATGAGTATTGCTTAAGGTGAAGGACTCAATCACGGTGCATCTACAAAGTGCTATGAATTTTTATCACATACCTGTGTCGATAATTTGACTCCGTAAAAGTGGTTTTGCACAGCCGTGCATATATTTTGTCACAAAGTCATTTGCTCTATGCAAACATAGTGTTAAGACGCGATAAAATTCAGCGTTATTCTATAAGAGCGTCAATGAAAAATGGTTCTTTTTCACTTCAAATGGTCTTTATTTTTGGTATGTGATAAAAAGAATATTAAATTCATGTAAATTCATTACTGAATTTATTGAACTCGTTCAATAAATTTAGTATTAAACTTACACTCATTCAATATCCTTTATATATCAAAAGCACTAGGTATGTTTAAAGGTGAAATGAAAAAAGTTTGCATGCATATTCCATGTAAGTGGGACAAATATCTGTGATATTAGTAAAGATAATTATGTTAACCTATAGGTACTGCCATTTGTTGTTGAGAGGAAAAGTTGGGAAGATTTTGAGAATACAACTAACAGCACAAGGTTTAAACGACAGATTAATAACATGCTGGTATGTAGTGCATTGTACTATTCTTATTTGAATCTAAATGTTAAACATAACACATGTTACTAACTCAACTTCCTTGATCATAGATTTTAACTAAGGTAAAAATTATTCTTATATTGAGTTTTTTTTTATCCCTTTCATTTTGCTGCTGAAAACAATTTCGTGATTGTATTTTGTAGACCTACAAGCAGTGTTTTGTTTTTAGAAATCATGTTATGGATACAAGCGTATTTAAATACGTATTGATTAAATATAATCTAGTTTCTTGTTAAAACAAAATTATCAATTGAAAGGGCTGATCTGCAGTACTTAGTTTAAATGTGTTTCATGTAAATTATTACAGGGTAGAGACAGTACTTAGTTTAAATGTGTGTTTCATGTAAATTATTACAGGGTAGTGGCAGTACTTAGTTTTAATGTGTGTTTCATGTAAATTATTGCAGGGTAGTGGCAGTACTTAGTTTAAATGTGTTTCATGTAAATTATTACAGGGTTGTGGCAGTACTTAGTTTAAATGTGTGTTTCATGTAAATTATTACAGGGGAGTGGCAGTACTTAGTTTAAATGTGTGTTTCATGTAAATTATTACAGGGGAGTGGCAGTACTTAGTTTAAATGTGTGTTTCATGTAAATTATTACAGGGGAGTGGCAGTACTTAGTTTAAATGTGTGTTTCATGTAAATTATTACAGGGGAGTGGCAGTACTTAGTTTAAATGTGTGTTTCATGTAAATTATTACAGGGTAGAGACAGTACTTAGTTTAAATGTGTGTTTCATGTAAATTATTACAGGGGAGTGGCAGTACTTAGTTTAAATGTGTGTTTCATGTAAATTATTACAGGGGAGTGGCAGTACTTAGTTTAAATGTGTGTTTCATGTAAATTATTACAGGGGAGTGGCAGTACTTAGTTTAAATGTGTGTTTCATGTAAATTATTACAGGGGAGTGACAGTACTTAGTTTAAATGTGTGTTTCATGTAAATTATTACAGGGTAGTGGCAGTACTAAGTTTAAATGTGTGTTTCATGTAAATTATTACAGGGTAGTGGCAGTACTTAGTTTAAATGTGTGTTTCATGTGAATTATTGCAGGGTAGTGGCAGTACTTAGTTTAAATGTGTGTTTCGTGTAAATTATTGCAGGGTAGTGGCAGTACTTAGTTTAAATGTGTTTCATGTAAATTATTACAATTATTACAGGGTTGTGGCAGTACTTAGTTTAAATGTGTGTTTCAGGTAAATTATTACAGGGTAGTGGCAGTACTTAGTTTAAATGTGTGTTTCATGTAAATTATTACAGTGGTAGTGGCAGTACTTAGTTTAAATGTGTGTTTCATGTAAATTATTACAGGGTAGTGGCAGTACTTAGTTTAAATGTGTGTTTCATGTAAATTATTGCAGGGTAGTGGCAGCACTTAGTTTAAATGTGTTTCAAGTAAATTATTACAGGGTTGTGGCAGTACTTAGTTTAAATGTGTGTTTCATGTAAATTATTACAGGGGAGTGGCAGTACTTAGTTTAAATGTGTGTTTCATGTAAATTATTACAGGGTAAAGACAGTACTTAGTTTAAATGTGTGTTTCATGTAAATTATTACAGGGTAGTGGCAGTACTTAGTTTAAATGTGTGTTTCATGTAAATTATTACAGGGTAGTGGCAGTACTTAGTTTAAATGTGTGTTTCATGTAAATTATTACAGGGGAGTGGCAGTACTTAGTTTAAATGTGTGTTTCATGTAAATTATTACAGGGTAGTGGCAGTACTTAGTTTAAATGTGTGTTTCATGTAAATTATTACAGGGGAGTGGCAGTACTTAGTTTAAATGTGTGTTTCATGTAAATTATTACAGGGGAGTGGCAGTACTTAGTTTAAATGTGTGTTTCATGTAAATTATTACAGGGGAGTGGCAGTACTTAGTTTAAATGTGTGTTTCATTTTCATTATTACAGGGTAGTGGCAGTACTTAGTTTAAGGTAGACCATGGGTAATGGGCACCATAAGGAACTGTAAAATTGACAACATAGGACAGTTATATGTCTTAAAGGTCACCTGTATGCAAAATTTAAATAAAATTTACCGTGTGGTTTATGAGTTATAGATATATTTCTAAACTAAGACTTTGCCATTAGAAGGGCTTATTTTCAGAAATGAAGAAACTCTAAATAATTTGTAATATCATCATTATAAAAAATGTTTTTCTAATGCCTATTGTTAAGAAACAAATAATAACATTCAGGTAACAAATTACACAAGCAAAAGGTTTGTTTCTAAACAAAATGTTCTTAATATGTATAAAAATGTTATCCTACCCCACCCACTTTAAACACTAATTTTACTATTTCCCTATCTAAAATGCCTTATTCAAAATATTCCTAAAATTTACCATAATGAGGGGCTATTTTCAAAGTTTGCCTAAATTTTCTTAAAGGTATATTGGTTGATCATGCGAAATATAAAATACTTTTACCGTGTAGTTTTTATTTTATTAAACTTTGAAAATGTCTGGTATCATATTTACTGTAAATTTTCGCATTATTTAGCAAATAAATATCTACAATAATTATATAATTTAAATCAAACCCCTTTTTCTTCCATAAGGGATCAGAGAGATACATAAAAAATGTTAAAAAGAAAAAAAAGAAAGAAAAAAATTTGCTCCTTCTGGGGCTTGAACCCACGCCCCACAATTTCAGTGTAGTTTGCAAGCGATTCTAGCCTATTTGAATACTCTTCAAAGTGGGGGTAATGCATTACCCATGGTCTACCTTAAATGTGTGTTTCATGTAAATTATTACAGGGTAGTGGCAGTACTTTGTTTAAATGTGTGTTTCATGTAAATTATTGCAGGGTAGTGGCAGTACTTAGTTTAAATGTGTGTTTCATGTAAATTATTGCAGGGTAGTGGCAGTACTTAGTTTAAATGTGTGTTTCATGTTAGTTATGACAGGGTAGTGGCTGTACTTAGTTTAAATGTGTGTTTCATGTAAATTATTACAGGGTAGTGGCAGTACTTAGTTTAAATGTGTGTTTCATGTTAATTATTACAGGGTAGTGGATTGACAAATTGTTTCTATCTGATGGAAGGAAGTACATACGGAATGAAAAGTAATTCCACCCACCATCATCAACAATATCTTAAGGTATTCTGTTGAATATACACTAAATATGGTTTTGTTTGACAAATTAAACCCTTTACCTTTCATGGTATTTATAAACAATATTTCAAGGTACTGTATCTATTTATTATCATATTTTTATAGATATACTGTGACATTTTGTTCGTGTTGTTACTTGTATGTATAAATAGTTTATAAATTATTTTATTCTTTAATTCAGCTTTGGTATTGAAAAAACATTCAACTTTGGTATCAAAGGAAGATTAACATGTACAATGTTTAATGGACTGTAGTAATTTATCCTTGCTTTTACATCTATATTAATGACCTTTATTTAAAGGGATTATTAGAGAAATTGATGACAGAGAATGGTTTCTATATAAACTATACCTCATCATGGATGAAGTCTGCCCAGTGGTTACTCTGGTTTACTGGATTCTTGAGTGATGCCTGTAAAACTGGTATGTTGAAACTATAAAATGTAGTACTAAAGTTTCTGTTTAAATAAAGCTATTTTGATTTCATGATTGAAATATTTCATTGTTTACAAGTTTGATTTAAGTTAAATTATATTTTCTCAAATCGCAACAGGGTTGAAGTTTATTAGCTTAAGGTCTTCAGCGTACCCGTTTATATACTATCACATGACGTGAACACTGAAGACAGACCTGTAGGGAAAGTCCATCAATAATCATGCCAGGAATCTGACACGCTCGTATCAACTCGTGGAACATGCCACGAAAAAAAAATGTAGCATACCTTGATTAAAACTGTTGATAAGCCAAGGATGAACAAATTAAAAACTTATTACAAACATAAACTACCTAATAGTTTTCGACCAGTAAAAAATTCAGCACTTGGCTGCCATTTTGGCAAAATGTTTGACCATGTGATTACGAGATTGACCTTTACAGGTTAATTTGCGTGGATGGTTAAGAAAACAGAACCCATGTGCTTTCAACTTTTTTATAAATTACTTTTTTTAAGGATACTGAAAAGGTGATTTACTGACTTGTATTAAATATAATTTATTTAAGTATTAAAAATGAAAGAAGATAAATAAAAACATTATCTTGAATTATAAATATTGAAATTAATTATGTCAACAAAGATGTTCTAAATATAGTACAAGAGTATAATCTGTTCCTGCGAAGGACATCATACAAAGTCTCGCGTGGCGCCTAACTGTCATGGCCGACTGTAGTCTACGTAATTGATGTTTCCAGTTAAATAGGCAATTTTAATGACAGTATTAATATTTTGATACATTAGATGGTATAGAATGATATCAAAATAATTGTTTTATTGCAAAATGCACAAGAATTAATTGGGACAAGGGTATTTGCAAATGAAAAATAAGGTTAAATCAACGTATGTTATTCTGGTTAGGTTTCGTAACAGGTCTAATCCAAAACTTTAATGCGCATCAGATGAAAAACAAAAATGTTAAAAGCTGCTTTTAAAGTTTTGGAAGCCAGAACTAAAAGTTTATATTTGTGAAGTATTGGTTTGGTATCAGTCTTTAAATAAAATCTATACAAACAGAGGACCTTAAATATATTAAAACAGTAGACCTTAAATCTAATAAAACTGTTGACCTTAAATCTTCTAAAACAGGAGATTTTGACTCTATTGAAACAGGATGCTTGTTGTGTTAAATGTATTAAGATATTTGTTAGTTTTTAACAAATTGGAAAAAAAAAAGAAATGAAAATAATCTGAAAATCAACTCTGTTCCTTATTTGATAAATTAATTTGATTGTATTTAATAAATTGTAACTGTTTTGTTTTTCATTTGATAATCATGACATTTATATATGGTTGCAGTCAATTTATAAAAAAAACAACAGAAGTTCCATACCAGTATTAAAAATTTGTAATTAAGATTCAAGAAAGGTTATATGGTGATATATATAATGTTTATTTGCAATTTTATCCTCGCCTAACAGATTGGGTTACATATACAAACAGCCATTTATATGGTACCTTATAACCTGTTATAAATCTTTATAAGTAATGCTATATATTCAATTCGTTTATTTGTATATATGAGCCGAGCCATGACAAAACCAACATAATGGTTTTGCGACCAGCATGGATCCAGACCAGCCTGCGCAGCCACGCAGTCTGATCAGGATCCATGCTGTTCGCTATCAAATTCTCTACTTGTTATAGGGTTTGTAAGCAATGCTCGTGGCAAACCCATTATGTTGGTTTTGTCATGGCGCGGCTCATATATGATATAATTGTAGGTTTATATCAGGATGAGTGTGTGTCCTACCAGGAGTATATGTCTAGAGTTGGTAGACAGAGAGGTAATACAGCAACTAATACAGCATTTACAACTGCCAGTAGGTACACTCATACATGGAAAGCTTCACTATTTGTTGACAATATTATCAGGTTTGTACATCCATTTGTCGTTGTATAGAGTAACATACTCAAATATTAAAAAAAAAAAAGAAAAAAAGTTATATACATACATGTGTATTATAAAATTGATGCTGCACTGTGATTTCCTTTGAATGAGAGAGATCATAATATTAAATCTGTGAATTATTCAACTATTTAGATTTACATAGGATTCTTTGTAAAACTGTTTTCCCAAGGAAATATAATGGGAATTCCAATTTTACCGGGAAAAAAATGACAACGGCAACAAAACTAAACATTTAACCTGATCAAGTCTTCAGCTAGTCAAGGGTTGCAAGTGATTAATCAGGCTCTATTTAATATAAGTGTAAAATGTTGGTGCATGATTAACATTTTCAATGTAAAAGGAACATTGTCTATGTGTTTCAGAGACAGTCAAAGGGAGAGAACAATGCTTACAACAGTAAGAGAAGATTTACTAGGTGTCTCCAACAGAAACAGTAAACATCTGCTAGTCTTACAAGATCTAGAACAATATAACAAGGTTAAAACATGCTAACTGATTTTCTAGAATTATCTAGCATATAAGAGCTGGTTTTGAGAAGATTTTCTTGGTAATGTTTTATGAATGTCTGTAGTGGGCATTCGTATTTTTGTTCAAGGCTTATATTTAGGTGAAATTGTTTTCATTAAATAAATTTTGAAACCGCAATTCTGTCTCATAATTTAGCAATTATATAGCTTCCTTTTTGCCATCCCTATCAAAAGAATAATAATATCTGTCGTATGTTACGATTCAGACTGGAATGTCTGTCTTGAAGGTACCTTCTCATTGGGTGGCAACGACCCTTGCCAAGCTGCCCCCCATGGACCGATACTTAGGAGACAGATATTTTGATCTGAACCACAAACACATGTCAGATATTTTGCAAATTCTACCATATTTTAAATGATTTACCTCAATAAATTAATGCCGCTTTATCCATCCGTAATTTTCTTACAGGAGCATAATTATGTATTTACACTTCATTAATTACAGTAAAATTATTTCATCTTAAGAATGCAATTTTGTCCTAAAATGCGCCAATATGAAGTGGTTTTGTAGCACACCATTCATCTGACATCCCACATGCCAGATGAAATTTCCAGCATGTGTTACAGTGTAAAACTTAACAGAAACACCAGTATGACATGCAAGAAATGTGTTGACCATGTCAAATTGAAACAGAAGAAATGCCTTTACTGTTATATCTTATGCTGCTATTTACACTTAAGATTGTTGAGTAACTTGAGAAAGATTTCAGAGCTTCAATGTTTTAACTTTCTTCTGGTGTATTTGTTGTATTTACACTGTAAATTTTATCAGTCTATATCTTTTTTGTTCATATACAGTGTACCAATTTTGTTCATGTTTTATGACATGCTGTTGCATGTCTTACATATATATGTTTATTTATAGAGAAGACAGACAGCCCTGAACAAATGTTGTGAAGCAGTATATGCTAATCCTGATCAGGCAAGAGGTAAGGTTAAAATAATGTCAACAGGCTTTCTGTTTATGGCTTGTATGAATTAATAAGATAACTGATTTTGTTCATTTAGATATGGTTGATATAGATAAATAAAGGAAAAGTTTGGACTAAAAGATTTTTTCCTTCAGTTTTACACATTTCGAATAATAATTAAATATGTGTTATTTTTGGGCATTCTTAGACGTTGACTTCAAACTTAATTCATTAAAAAATTGACTTTAATAAGAGTTTGTGTTCTAAAGCTATCTTGTTATAGTTATGATTTATTTTGTTGTTTCTATCTTTTAAAGGTTCATGGTGTTTTTAAATTCTGTATGTAGATTTCATAACATTTGTATCGGTATTTGATATCAAACATGTAATGGTCTTTATTTTATATAGATATAGTAGAAGAGAAGCTGGGGCCTGTTGTGCATAACATGTTACATTATGACATAGCTTCATATTGGCAGCTGTACATGCAGGTAAGTTATTTTGATTAAGAGTTTACTTTCTAATTATTCACAATATTGGCCATAAAATGGTTTTATTCTCTATACACAATATAATCATTCTCAATCCCTTTATCCAACATATGTGAAGACTTTGTTAATAATATGATATCTCGTTGCTATGTAAATGATTTCTGAAGTTACCCAAGAAAGATTTTATTTAGACAGATGAACTCAGTTTTCTGTTTAAACTTCAGATCACACCTATTATATGTTTTATTTGTTTTCCTTTGCAACTCTATATACATGTAGGTTAGTGCCTTTGTGAATGTTATTACCAGTACATCTATTAGATTGACTTCAAACCACTTGCCCCTCACCACTGTGGGTTCGAATCCCGACAGGGACTTTGGATTCTTTCATGCGAGGAAGCTATCCAGCTAGCTTATGGAACGTCGGTGGTAGTACTCAGGTGCCCGTTCTTGCTTGAAATAATACATGGAGGGGCACCTGAGGTCTTCCTCCACCAGTAAAGCTGGAACGTCGCCAAATGACCTATACTGTGTCGATGTGACATAAAACCCAAAACAAAACTAAAACAAAACAAACAAAAAAAACAAAAAAATATCTATTTGAAAAATGTTGTTTAAAGCAGAAAGTTTTAGTGGAAATTTGTAAAAATCTATTGATTGGATTAAAAAGTCACAGAAAGACAAGTAAATATTTATTAGTCCCCCTACAGGTTTAACTATTTACTATGATAATTGCTTGTTATAAATAAAAAGTCCTTGTTATTAATCATAATACACAAATAGATATGATGCATGTAATTAACTATGTCATTAAAACCAATTTTCTCAACTAGGTAAAGACAGGTATGTATGTAGTTAGAACAGAGACTGTCCAAGACACAGAGAAAATTTGTAGAATATTTACATCAGCACCCAGAATAACTCCTGCCACTACAGCAGATACAGATATACTGGTACCCAGAGGTAGGTTTTCTATGTGTGTCTTGTATGTTTCATTAGTTTACTAGGCAATCCAATTAATGTAATAAGCATGGTTACATTAACCAAAATAGTGTTGCTGATAACTGTATAGCAATAAAAACATTCAGTGAAAACCTCATACAAAGATTGGACACTGGAAGACACTGCTATATGTCAGAACCATACATACATGTGACTTTATGCTCTGAAATTCTTTTACACTTTTTAATTAAAGAAATCCTCAGCACTTTTTAGTTTAATGAGAACTAATTTCCAAAGCAGAAGCGTTACCATATTGAAAAAAAAAGAACCTGTACCATTGTATATTAATTCAATTCTATTAGTTAATTACTGAAGAACATAACATTTAATTAATTGTTAGTTTGTTAAACACTATGACACTGTGCATTAAGGTGAATTGCTCTCGCCATTATCATTGCCCAACAAAGACTATTCTTGCGTAAAATCTGCACTTCCAGGTTTTCATGAATGGAAAAAAAACAACATTAATGGATAAAATCATTGAAGCATTATTGCACATTTTGATATGCGTTACTCCATGTTAAAATAGCTGACTGCATTGTACCAAATACTTCATTGTCAAAACATATTCATGTGTTTAAAGTATTAGGAAAAAAAACTGTTTGTTTGTTTGTTTGTTTTTTTTTTTTTTTTTTTTTGGGGGGGGGGAAAATAGTGCTTATGCACCTTTTTCATGCATTAACATCTACAGATTCCCTTGACTTTGTTAGATCCCTTCTCCTGCAGGCTGTCCTCATGCTTCTACAGATGTTAATGTACAAAAAGTGACTTAGCCCTCTATTCCATTTCAAGTTAAATAAATTTACTTATCAAGAATATTACTTGACTACTTAATTGCAAATGAAATGATTATGTACAAAAAGTGACTAAGCCTTCTATTCCATTTCAAGTTAAATAAATTTACTTATCAAGAATATTACTTGACTACTTAATTGCAAATGAAATGATTAATGACTGAGCAAATTACATTGCTATTTTTCTGTAAAATGTTATGGTAGTATAAAATGTATTTATACTTTATATTGCTACAGTTAGGAACAGAGGAACTTCCACCCCAAAGAAGCCAAAAAGGACGGCAACAATAACAAGTAGTGACGGTCAAGATCATATTTCAAATGGACTATATGATAATGAAATATCTAGAGTGAGGCATCTGTCAGCACCACATTTTGGTGTTCAAGACAAATTTGATGATAATATCACCCCTACTGCTTTGAGAAAAACAGACATTCATTCTCTTTATTCAGAAATGAATAGTTTGTCTTTACCTGTGTATTCCTGTGAAGGAAATGTAGATAAAAGCACACCTGTAGTTGGTCATGTTATAAACAGAGGCAAACATAAATCCAACAAAGACAGGAATGGTGAGAGTTCTCCAAGACAAGTGAAAATACAACCATTTTCTGGTCAAGGTCATTGCCTTGGAACAGGATCTTCAGAAAACCATAAACAATTTGGTTTAACAGGTGATAGAAGTAAAAACAATGTACAAAGTGCAGCTGTAAATACATCAGTCATAACTGGAAGGCCAGGATTGGTAGGAGGTATGTGGAACAACCAAAATAATTCAGATGGAGGAGGAAGGAACAGTCTTTCAAATGAGTTCAAAGCAGTTATTAATGATGTAGAAAACTCATATCATCATACAGATTTTGTTGATTCTCAGAATGAAGATGAAGTTCTAAAAGAGGTATTTTACCATTACTTGTTGTCTTTTTTAAAAAATTTTGGCCAAGTTGCACAGGGTGCAAACCCGGGTGATAGTATGGTGAATGGCGGGTGGCGATGGGTGGGAAAAAAATTTTTTAGTGACAGTTTATTAGCAACAACTTATCACAGCCTCTTGATATTTGGTATACAGCATGGCCATGTGGTCCCATACAATGGGACTCGATTTCAGGTCTTTCGCTCATCCACTTCCTGTCTACCGATTTGGTTAAAATTTCAACATTAATGGTCGATGGTAGAAAACTTTTGTCACATCACAGCCTCATGATATTTGGTATACAAATGCAACCAGGCCTTTTCTGTCTTTGACCCATTTTTGAATGATTTAAATGAACTAAGTCTAATATTGTTAAATAAATGAGATGGAGTGGGATAGCTTGGATTATAATGGAAAGCTACATACATTACATGTATATTATAATGTTAAAGTTGATAAGGGAGGCCAGTGTAATAAATTGAGAAGAACATGCTTCTGTCTTTTGATACTTATTTTTCAAGGCGAGGCTGAAAGGGGAGAGGCTTGCTGCACTTTACTGCACTTTTTTCCTTGAAATGTCAAATTTAAAAGTTCATCTTAAATTCAGTTTCAATGAAAGAAAAGTCAAATTGGCAATTTGACACACAAGCTACAATGCGTATTATTTTCTGAACAAAATCATTTGCTCAGTTATTTAACAATAATCTGGCAAAACAAAGTAAACATTTACAAGTTCTCCAAGAAAATCGTTTAGCCTTTGCAATCAAACAGAACCTGCAACAGTTTCAGTTTTGCTGTGTTGGGCTTTCTTTTCTTTTGGATTCTGTTTTTCTCTATTTTGTTATGTTGTAATATGACTTGTGCATCGGTGATGTCATTTGTGACACAAATTATGTCATCACCTCATTTATTTTGGTATTTCTTTCGTAATGGGCGGGGCTTATTTTTTTATAGCAAGTAGTAACCTCCTATCAAAAATAGTTATCACGCAAGTCTAATTATAGTCACCTGATTTTATTTATCTTATTGACAATGAAAGCTAAAATATTCATTGATTTACTTGAAATGTAGGAGAAAAAAGTAAAGTAATGATCAGTAACTTATGCACAAATTCATGTCATATTTACAGATTTTAGCAAAGAGCGCAGCAGAAGCCAGTTTAGTAACAAGCGAAGCATATTCCTTACCCAGGCAAACTGAGCTTGGCATTCATGAAATGGTGAGTGCTGCAAGTTTACCAGAGGAAGAACAATTAAAGCATGTGCTTGAAATTAGTAAATCTCAAACAGGAATTTTAAAAAATACAAACAAGATACAAGCTTCAGTTAATATCGAAAAAGACCTTGATAATCTTACTGAAGATGAGATGCTGAAGCATGCTATTGAAATGAGTATGGTAGATGCTGACAATGATTTACAAGGATATGCTGAAACGTTATTGCCTTCAGATGATACAGAGGATGTTATTGTAATACAGGACACAGAAGAAGATCAGGAAAATACAGTTTCTAAAATGAGTTTTAAAAGAACACCAAAGAAAAGAAAAAATAAAATAGAAATAGATGGACAAGAAAAAAATACTTTTAATAGAACTCCTTGTAAGAGAAAAAGAGATAACTCTCCACAAAGTTGTGTAGATCTTATTGAAGAAATGAGTGAGGAAGATCAGTTGAAAGTAGCAATAGATCTGAGCATGTCTCAGATTATAGAAGAGAATATATGTTCAGAGAGGGAGACAAACACAAGAGACAATATATCTGGCCCAGATGAAAGGAGTAAGGTTGGATCTGGGGCAAGCTTAAGAGTAGGAGTCAGTCCATGTAAGAAATACAAATTTGAAAAAGATAATGTAGTCCCTGGAGACAATATAAAGAGAAGTAATTTGCAAGATGTTGTTGAAATAATTGACATACCTTTGAAAAAGGAAAATGAAACTTCAAGGAATGCTACAAAGAGAAGTACAGATAAAAAGGTGAATGTAAATGAGCAAGGGCAGATTAACAAAAGTACAAGTGGACAATGTACAGTGACAAAGAATGGGTTGATTCCTGTAGCAGAAAATGTTAATAACATAGCCAATATTGAAGTGATTGAAATTGATTCTCAAAATTCTCAAGGAGATGAAAAGGTTGAAGTTGATCTTGTAAGTTCTTTTAATTCAGATTCGGAACTGGAAAAGAATGCTTCAAAACGTTTGATGTCTATAGAAAATGAGGGTAGCTGTGGTGATATAAAGTTAATAACAGGTTCTACAGCAATGTCTGATCCTGGTGAAGATGAAAGTTTAAATTCATGTGACACTGGATTGTCCCTTAAAGACAATAGTGATAATGCTGTTTGTGAGGAAACAGTTTCTACAGAAATGTCTAATCTTCATGAAGATGGAAATTTGGTTTCATGTGACACTCAATCATCTCTGAAAGACAATAATGATGATGTTGCTTTTAAAGAAATGGCTGGTATTGAAAGGTCAAAAGATATAGAAGACAGTGATTTTATACCCCCTTCACCAGAAAGAAACAGTTTGTTAAGTAATTCTTCCCTCTCACAGTCTTTCTTTTCTAAAACACCTGAAAATGTAGGTCATAGAATTCAAACTTTAGAAATTGAAGTTGAGAAAACCTGTGACAAATATATTTTACCCGATGTGCCAACAAACGATACAGTATTTGATAATATTAATTCTAGTCAGCAAAATTGTGATGATGTACATGAGAACATCACAGCAGATGAAAGAAACAAAGATTTTGAAAGGGGAAATAATGAGAAATCTGGTGATGAAAAGGATAAGTTTGATTTAAAGACAAGTTTATTTTACCATAGCAGTGATTCAGAATATGAAAGTGAAGAAGAAATGTTTGATGAAAGTCATGATGATTGTGTGGATGGAAATGAAGAGAAAGAAAATGAGCATTTGAGTGAATGTACAAAAGTACCTGCTGTTAGTGGTAACACCTCTGACACAAGCAGTTCCCACAAGAGAGAATACAGTAACTTATTAAGTGATGACATTGAGGCTGAACATGGAGCAGAAAGCAGAGATGTAGATAGTGATTTTTTACAGACGTTTAAAATAGAAAAGGAAACTAACATTGAAGAGGTTGATGATAATAAATATTGCATTGAAACCTCAAATAAAAAAACTGATAGTGAAAGTTTAATAATAAACAAAACGAAGAATATAGAACCAGGATTAGAAATTAAGCAAGAAAAAGTTATAATGGCAGGTGATGAAAACCATGCAGATATGTACGTAGACATTGATGAAGTTGATAATCTAATTGATTACCAGCCAGATTCACAAGATATTGAAATGATGAAAAGGGAAAGTGATTCTGAAGATGCTTGTTTTAGTGATCTAGAGGAAAACTCTCAAGAGAGAAATGATCCTGATTTTTTGCCAGTGATAGGAAAACCAAGGAAGATGAGATATAGGCAACTAAAAGAAGAAAGTGAACAGTTATTCATACAAAAAAGGAAGAATATGGATTCAGAAAAGTTAAATAGTGAAACCGATATAACATGTAAAAATGAGCATGAAAAATGTGATCTGACGGCAGATGAATTGTATGCAAGACAAGTACAGGAGGATCTTGATCGAGAAGCCAATCAGCTTGAAGCACAGAGAGCATTGATAGATGATGCATATATTGCACGGCAATTACATGAAAGTTTAAATAAACAAACTTTATCTAGCTATCAGGATAGACCAGTTAATAATGAACAATATGTACAGTATGAACAGTTAATCAGTACATCAGTAAATTGTAATAGAGGAAATGTGAGCCATGTAAAAACATATGTGGAGAAGGAATCTTTAAGGAAAGGTTTAGATAGAGCACATGTAGAAGGTAGTGTAGATACTGTGAGAGGTGCAAGGATTGGTAACTCGGAAGCTCTTGTCAGAGAATTACAAAGGAGAGAATTGGAAAAGATTGACAGATGGAAGAAAATGTTATTAGAAGATGAAAAGTTGGCTAAAAGCTTGCAGGATATTGACAAGTTTAATACAGAGGAGGAGATAGGTATGGTGTTAAAATCAGATAAATATAATTACTTTTACTATAAGACACTCATATTTCAAAGACATTTAAGAGACCTTTTGTTAATGGAGTGATTCAAGTAAATTGTTAAAATTTCAAATAACCTTACAAACATAAAAAACTATATGCTTTTACCATTTTCTGATAAATTAATTAGTTATGTCCTTTGAAAAAATGAGTAGTAAAAAGGAGCAAGTTATCAGTCAACCAATAATCAAATACATGTACTATTGTTTTGTTACATTGTATTTTGTTTTTTAAGTAATGTGAAATCAATTCTTGGGAACATAGACTAAGCGTTTTACATTGAAGCAGGTCACTGCTTCCTAGGTGTCTCAACCAGTATTGTGGTTTGTGAGAGAATGAGAGTCTCATTTGGTAGGATTCAAACCAATAATCTGGGATTATAAATCTGATTTAGTAGAAACGACAGTGAACTCCTTTATTTTCATCAGTGTTATCTTACAAGTCTTGTCATATTTTGATGCTTCAGATCCTTCTGAAACAAGTCAGACACAGAAAAACAGCATTTTTTCCCAAAATGTAGAGCCAAGCTTTAAGAAAATGATGGCCCAACACAAGGCTAGCAAAGAGAAAGCCATTGCACAGGTAAGTTATTAACATGAACAAACAGATTTCTTAACATTTTATATATGCATTTATTGTTTTACTCGGTGGGAGAAGAATAGTCAGATTTATTTCAGGAAACAAATTTTAAACTTATCTCAATATAAGTGCTTGTTTCAAATGATTTTATTTTGAAATAGGAGTTAAGAGTAACTTATTTCTGAATATTCTAGTTTTCATTATGTTTTTTTATTTGTTTGACATCTATTAAAGATATTTAACAAGGTGAAAGTATAAAATTTTATTGTTATGTTAAGCTGCATTAGATTGTAACCTCCTTATTTGTATTAAAGTATTGGAAATAATACTTGCCTTAGGTTATTGTATTTGAAAGTGGTTAAGACTTTTACAGATCAAATAGATAAAATGTATATTTAGCTCATTTCTGCTATACAATTTAGCTCATTTCTGCTATACAAACTAAGCTAATTTTTAGTCTTTTTATGTACTTGATTAGCCAGTTGATGTTGATCTAAAATGGTAAAATGTGTAATGATGTTTCTAGCTTCAGGAGTACAGGGCTCTACAAATGAGAAGGTTCCAGGTGTCACATGGAGGTTTACCACACAACACTGTATCAACACAGCATAGTTATAGCAATAACTCAAACAATGATGATGGTAAAACACTAAAACTATCTTTCTTAAACTACAAAACTTATTATGCCCTGACTTTCTTAGGGTTAGGACATGTAAATTTGCTCTTCCACGTCCATTACACTAACCTGCTGTCATGGTGTCCATCAACTGACTGACAATACATGGAATAAGGGTGCATTTGTGTTGTGTGAACACTGTAGCTCTTTGCTGGCTGCTTTTATTAGATGACTATATTGTATGAAGTCAATAACAGTGACTTCAAATGAAAAAATTGATTATATTAACTTTCTGTGTTTGCTAATTTTTTACACTTCATAATTTGATTATTCATAAAGAACAGTAATTTATGTTTTAAGTATTTATTTCTAGCCCTTTTAGAAAATATATTATGTATTCCAATACATTTATATACTTGAAGCCTATTATATCTTCACCACTTCTGATGTTCTAAGCAAAATAAAATCAAGTAGTAATGCTTGGATAAAATACATACTGTATAAAGTTTAATTAGAAAATGTTCTATTAATTGGTCACAATATTTGTTATCTATGAATTTCTGTTTAAATTTGCTGAAATCATATATGCCTCATTAACTTTGCAGTAATTGTTTTGGATGAGCCAACTGACTTTATTATACCAAAGATTTCTGGAACACCTTACAGAAATACAAGACCCAATATAAATTGTCAGGAAAGCAGGACACATTTTGTTTCAAAAACTCATGGCAGTGGAACTGAATATCAGTATTCCAAACATAGTGCAACCAGTCAGTGTGACGATAGTCATGTGATCAAACCTAGCCAATCCAATTCTTTATCTGGAAGTCACATGTCCACTTCTAACCAATCGAAATACATGTACCATGAGAATGATCACATGACAGAGGTTAACCAATCACAGTCTAGTGCTAACAAACATTCAAATGTTACTTGTGGTAACTGTGGGGAGAAAGGACATAACAGAACATTTTCTAGATGTCCCAGATATCACACTGCAGAAGAAAGTGCTAGAAGAGAGGTGCAATATATTTACATTATCTTGCTTTCTTACAAATAGTATGCATTAAGTATTTAAGTGAGTACAAATAACATGAAAACCCAGATGAGGACTTACAATTTTTTTAAATGAGAACATCAATAGTGAAGTATAAACACAATTTTCTGGAATAAATTTTATTGTAACTTTGTAAGTCATACAGTGAAAAACGTTTTTAGCTTTTATGGATACGGGAAGGCAGTCAGTGATATGCACTTTCTCACACTGTATCAATAATTTTCATACCATTACTCCTGGTGGTATAGTATATCCAAAATTTATGAAATCTGACACGAGTGCGCTTACTGTTTGAACTATTATTTCACTAAACATGTAAGGGGTGTCCGTGGCTGAGTGGTTCAGGTTGTTGACTTCAAATCACTTGCCCCTCACCGCTGTGGGTTTGAATCCCGACAGGGACTTTGGATTCTTTCATGTGAGGAAGCTATCCAGCTAGCTTACGGAACGTCGGTGGTTCCACTCAGGTGCCCGTTGTGCCTGAAATAATGCATGGAAGGGCACCTGAGGTCTTCCTCCACCAGTAAGGCTGGAATGTCGTGATATGACCTATACTGTGTCGATGTGACGTAAAACCCAAAACAAACAAACAAACTAAACATGTTTATTATTAAAGGTTTTTTTATTTCTTCTGTTCAAGGCTATTCAGATTGTCATTTTTTAGTTATCCTAATCATTAACTCTCGATTAATGTTTGATATTTTAGGCAAAGTTGGAGAAACAGAGGCAACAAAAAGAAGAGAAACAGAAACAAGAAGTTGAAACAATACATATGTTGGTATGTGAACATTTCCAATTCAAATTATTGTAAATTTCATAATAATTTGGGGGGCGTCCATGGCCGAGTGGTTAAGGTCGTTGACTTCAAACCACTTGCCTCACACCGCTGTGGGTTCAAATCCCGACAGGGACTTTGGATTCTTCCATGTGAGGAAGCCATCCAGCTAGCTTACGGACCGTCGGTGGTTCTACTCAGGTGCCCGTTTGTACATTAAATAATGCACCTGAGGTCTTCCTCCACCAGTAAAGCCAGAACATCGTGATATGACCTATACTGTGTAGATGTGGTGACGTAAACCCCCCCCCCCCCCCCCAAAAAAAAAACAATAATTTGACCGTCTTTTTACCATTACACTTAGCTGAATATTGTGAACTGACCATTGTTAAATTAATTAAGTATTCACAGTATCAAGGGACTTAATCTATACAAATTTATTTTGGTTTGATTGTGTTGGAAGCTTTTGAGCTTTTTGAAACTGTCTCGAATCCATTCCTGGAACCAACCAGTACTAAGCAATAAATGTAAAGTTTCTTTCTCATGGAAACAAGGGCTTGCCCCTGACAAGGTTTGAAACCATGCAGTCAGCAATTCTTAAATTACTAGTCCGACCCGTTGACCACTCGGCCACCCTGCCACTCTATATGAAAGGAGATATTTTTTCTTTATAATTTGCCTTTATTTATTTGTCAGTCTGAGCACCGGCGTGTACTGGAGGAGATGACATCTCAGATACAAAGAGAGATGGGTACCATCCAGAATAGGTTACAGCAGAGAGCAACTGAACTCGAATCACAGGTCAATTCAAGAGTGAGGAAAATTGAAAACGCCAACAAAAAGAAAAAGAAATGACTTTATTCTTTACACCTATTCACTGTCATTTTGTATCTCCTAGGGAGGCATGTAGTTTTTAAATTGTTTGTCCTTCTGAATAGATGTTGCAATAGAATGTTGTTAACAGAATAATAGAACACTGAGATTCCTTCCATAACATTACAATAAGAAGTCTTTCTACAACAAAATGAATGATTGGGCCCTTGTATCAATTCTTTTATATGTCTGTCTGCTTTTTGTCCGATCATTCATGGATGGAATAAAATAAATTTAGGTAAATATGTTCCTCATTAAAACTATGTATTGAAGGCAATACCAAGGTTTCTAGCTCAAAAGGTTACAATTAGGCCAAAACAATATCCGTCCAAACTCATGATTTGATTGCAAAAATATGGTCTTTTATTGCCCAAGAAGCAGATCAGGCAAAAAGTCAAGGTCAAATACTTTAGAACATCGATGGTCGTGTTAGGTTATCACATCCCTCATTCATTGATCGTATTTGGAATATGTAGGTGTAAATTTGACAATTTGTCACGCCCAAAGGCCAGGTCAACTAGGAGAAAAGTCATGTCAAAATAGTACATTGATTGTTGTGTCTGGTCATTTCTCAGTCATTCATTCATGGATGTTTTTTCTGATATTTGAACATACTGAGTATGTCAGAATTTGTTAATGTTCTTTTTCTCTTGTTACACTATTGTAACCATGCCTTCATTGTTAGTCAAAGGTCATGGTTGCTATACTGGGTCCAGGCTAGGGACATTATTCTGATTCTTAGGACTAGTTCTTGTTTGCATATAATTGTTTTTAATCTTCTGTTTTTTATGCAAAGTCTGTTTTAGAAAGATATATACATGTAGTTCTTTTAACTGTTACACTGCTTCAAAAGTTATATTGGATTGTTTTTACTTTGTATTTAATTTTACTATTATGTTATGCTAGAATATATCATGACCTTTGAGTTGTTATATTTGCAAGTTATTACACACCGAGTCAGTTGCGTCAGTAATTAATGAGTAAAGTAATACCCAAAGTGGATATGTCTTTGATTGAGAAAATGTTATGTTTAAGTTTTTAGCTCACCTGTCACAAAGTGACATGGTGAGCTTTTGTGATTGCTTTTTGTCCAGCGTCCAGAGTTAAGATACTTTTCTTTTTTTAATGCGTTTATTTAAGGTCGCCGCCGGAAAGCCCATATGGGCCACCGTACACTCAAGTCGGGCCATCCTAGAGCGTCCCGCCGAGATTTTTTCGTCAATTTTTTTCCAGCTTTTATTGGTGGAGGAAGACCCCAGGTGCCCCTTTTGGCATTATTTCAGGCACAAGCGGGCACCTGGGTAGAACCATCGACATTCCATAAGCCAGCTGGATGGCTTCCTCACATGAAAGATTTCGACCCGACTGAGGATCGAACCTACAGCGGTGAGGGACCTGTGATCTCAAGTCAGCGACCTTAACCACTCGGACACGGAGGCCCCCCAATTAAGATACTAAGCATGAAATATCTTCAAAATGAGTGTCTACCAAGTTTGTTCAAACAAAAGCCCTGAGGTCAAAATTTGGATGTCATTGTTTTTCCCTATATGTGTATATAATAAACTTTAAGAGCTGGAGCTTAAATATTTGGCATGAACATCGTCTAGTCATTGTCTATCAAGTTTATTCAAATAAAAGCCCCTGGGTTAAAATTGGCCTATATACAGGTGAGCGATTTCAGGGCCATCATGGCCCTCTTGTTGTAAAAGTTCAAATGTATGCAAAACTTCAATATGATTAAGACAGATATGGTAAATGAACTAAGTATTTCTGTTTTAACTCCTGTGATGATGTCGCTTATATGAGCCGCGTCACGACAAAACCAACATAGTTGGTTTGTGACCAGCATGGTCACTGCCTCCGCGCAGTCTGATCAGGATCCATGCTGTTCGCTATCAATTTCTCTACTTGTTATAGGGTTGGTAAGCGAACAGCATGGATCCTGATCAGACTGGTCTGGATCCATGCTACTCGCAAACCCATTATGTTGGTTTTGTCATGAGGCGGCTCATATGTGTTACTAGAGGCATATTTATGCGTAAACTTCCATACAGTCTGATCCATTTCTATTTGTTGGTTAATTTACTCTAATATAAAGAAATCATCAAAAATATATGTTCTAATTAGGATAAGAATATCTCCATGTACAAATTCAGCAGTTAAAACTTTATTGATAACAAACAACAAATTTATTTGACTCTAATGATGTTTTTTTCTTCCCAAAGTATTGAAAAATTACAAAAATAAAACTTTATTGATAACAAACAAAAAATTATTTGACTCTAATGATGTTTTTTTTCCAAAGTATTGAAAAATTACAAAAATAAAACTTTATAAAAAAATTATTGATAACAAACAACAAATTTATTTGACTCTAATGTTGTTTTTTTTCCAAAGTATTGAAAAATTACAAAAATATGTATGGTGCTACACTGTTTAGATTCAAGTCTAGTTTTCATGTTTATTGATTTTTGGCTAACTTTTGCAACGAAAGAATAAAATAAACAAATAAACTCTTGACTTTATAGTTATGTTTTAATAATATTTTGATTTTTTTATAGCCAACTTTTTGTGAAGTGATTAATGCATAAAACAATGCTCTGAACAATTATCACCATGTCTATAAGGGCTAGCCAGGGTAAGAAAAAGCTTATATTATAAGCATCTCCTAAACCTCTCACTACAATGCACATAACATAGACGTAGATCGCTTGTATGTATGCACCACCTTGTGGTCCTAGTGATATACATACATGTAAATCATGAACGAGGTGTATTCGGAGTCACTTTGTTTATAGAGTGATAATCAGTTGAAATCTACACTGCCCGTCGTGTTCACCAAGTAACGTAAGGTTAATGAATAAAATAAATAATACATGTATATTCCTTTATTGAAATAACATTTTGATAAACCAGAATCCACAGGCACGAGAATCGAACATGGGAAGAAAATATATGACAAGATTTGTAAAAAAACCGTAATCTTAAATGTGTCAGAAAACAAATAAAATTGTCAAAACTGAGTTATTAATGAGTACATGTATTTAGCAAATTCAAATGATTTTGACCTGCACTCTGCTGACAAACGTGTATTTATCTGTATTTACGTACTAAATCTTTGTGCCGCAATTTGGCTACCAGGGAATTTTAGCAGAATGCGCGCATTTCCTGAACGGGAAGGGCCAGATACTTGGGGTCGGTCTCATTTGGAAGCTTAATACAAATGTTAAATAGTGATAAATGTTTAATTTGTCTGGACAATTGTTTTCACATCGGCCCGAGAAATGAACTTGCTCGTAGGCTCGAATCTGGACTTTCCGGCCTTCTCTTAACTTACAGTATATTTTAAGAGGGCTCTTATTTTACATTTTTTTGACACATTTAAGATGAACACAGGTTTTTTAGTTTCAATCTGGTCGTATTGTTTCGTCCCAAGTCCGAGACTCGTGCCTGTGCCAGAATCAGGCTTATATTGATCCGCCTTTGCGGTGCTCTTGATTTTAGTCAACATATCACTCGAAGTTTCCTTGTGCCTATAATGTTATAAAATCGTTATAGAACTATCCATTAACATTGTTTAAGTGTACATTATCTGGGCTATTTCTATATATAATTTTCTTATTTATATGCACTTTATATTGTGTGCAAGCCCGTTTGCACGACACCAAAACCTAATTTGAAATGAGGGCTTTGCCAATTAAGTAGATTGATGTCTTTATTTTGCGTTTAATAATATAATATTTGTTTGAAATGTTAAATGACTGATGAGAGTATAATTAATCAAATCCGCTATCACATCCTCCCCCACTGTCCCCGCCGCCGCCACCACAACCACCACTGTCACAGTCTAATACAGAAATGTGTAAATGGTCAACGGCAAAACTTGAAGAATCACCTGTTCCACTTTTTGTCTCTGTACCGGCATGACCAGTGCCAGAGCGAGCACCTTTGCTTGATTTTGAAGTATTAGCGCTCATATAGTACTTTCCATGACCCCCACAGGAGCCGCATTCTGACCGGCACTTGCGACCCCCGCAACCTCCACAACCGGCACCTACCAAGCCGGCTGAAAATTGCTTATGATTTATAGAAGTGCTGCCTCCACATCCACAACCGGTGCTGTTAGGATCATCCCCGTCCTTGCCCTGAAGTTTTTTCCACATATCCGCGTCACATTTTATTTCTCTTCCTCCACACATACAACATGTCATATTTCCAAACGTTCTACTTATATAGTAATTTGAAGGCGTGTTGCTGTGTAATCCTGAGGCTATCATGAACGGCATGGTATCATAGCTAACAACAGATACTGATTTATCACCTCGAAATAAACTTCCGGTCGGTTCTACCTTTTGACCATCTACATATCCTTCCGGTCTCGGTACACATAAAACATGTAAAAGAGCGACAGAAAATACAAGTGCAATATTTTCTGCTATTTCTTTGTTGGTTGCATCGATTTGAATAATGCTGCCAGTAATGTCGACTTCAAATCCTTCAATGGCCAGTCTACTACTTTTGTATTGGTAAATATCTATTATCTTGTCGCTTGAAAACTTGTAAAATCTTGCCGTAGGTTGTCCAGGATTGCCAAGCACAGCTCGTTCACCTGTAAAGAAATAATTTATTTTAAAACAACACACACGGACGCACAAATGAAACAAATTGAACCATATCAGCATTCAAGATTTGTATATTTATGCGTCTAACGGACTGTATTGCTCTGTACCCTTTACCTGATACAAATTATCATACTTTTATTCATAAATTGACCATCACATAGATTTGCAAGATTCCAACAAAATACTTTAATACAAGACATGCTTATTTTCAGCTCAATATATCAATTCTTATTTCTTTTAATAACACAAAAATGTACAGGTGGCCCATTAAACTGTGATTTCGGCGATTTTCACCATTTTCTCGTTTTATAATGTGGTGTGATAAAAAAGAATTTTACATTCGGTGACATTTCATCTTGTTCTAAAAATTAAAAATAAAAATCCACGAAGCGTGCCACAAACTCGCTCTTTATCATCTGTTTTACTAATATTCTTACAGATTAAATAATAAAGTACAATGTAGCAATTATTATCAACATTCTGAAACAGATTGATTAATGGTAATGGCAAATTACAAATGAAAACGTTTGTTAGAATTTGATTCTAACATGCCTTAGTTGATTTAATGCGAAAATGTTAAGCACTCATGCTTACGACCGTCATGGTCAATTCTTTTGGTTAATGACTAAGTATCAAAACTCGAAACGGTGTTAAATAGCCAATAAACACCACTGAGACCGATAATTTCCTAAATAATACAATTCGTACTTAGTTTTCCTTTGATGCCTCTTTTGAAATCTCTCCAACAACCTATAACGATTCCCCAGTCACCTTCGTTGTTCTTTATAAGGACGGCTCGCTCTCCTTTCTTCGGGTTAAGATTAACGTTAACTTCAGAAACCTGAAACAATGTATCATCATTGTTAGAACTTTGTACATTGTATAAAATCATAACTTTGTGTTTGCCACAGTTGCTGCCTTCCCACTGAAATAATTTGCGCATTATCCGAGTCATTGTGACAGTATATTAATATTTCAGATGTATAAAGAAAATCAAGTACTATTCATGACAATTTGTCTTCAATATTGTTGTTATATGTTGAAGATAAAATGACAGACACGTGACTTTCCCCCGTCGGTGATTGGCCTTATGCGATGCTCTGTTTTTGTTTGGGTCCTGCTGTGCTCCTTGCCGGCGGTCCTGTGCTGCTTGGTCGTGCAGGGGTTGCGTTCATTGAACGCCGCCCTCCTTGTTGATCTTGTTTTTCATATTCTATGTCTTTAGAATATGATGTATGTTGCTGTTACCAGTACATGGCATATTTTAGTAACAGACTATGATTAAAATATCTCATTCATTAAAAATAATATATGGTTTACTTTTACGTAGAAAGTATGTGTCTCTTACAATAGACCCGTTTCCACGTTTTTTGTGAAAAAAGTTGTTATCACGTGCAAGTGTTAGCAGTGTAATAGTTATCATGCACTTGTGTAAGCAGTGTATTTGTTTTTCAAGCAGTGAATTATTGAGTACTTGTGTTAGTAGTGTTGTTGTTATCACATACTTTTGTAGCAGTGTATTTGTTTTCACGTACTTGTGTTAGCAGTTGAGTTATAACGTACTTGTGTTATCAGTTGAGTTATTACGTACTTGTGTTAGCAGTGAATTATCAAGTACTTGTGTTAGTAGTGTGGTTGTTATTACATACTTTTGTAGCAGTGTATTTATTTTCACGTACTTGTGTTAGCAGTGAAGTTATTACGTACTTGTGTTAGCAGTGAATTATCAATTTCTTGTGTTAGCAGTGTAGTTGTAATCAGATACTTTTGTTAGCAGTGTGGTTGTTTTCATGAACGTGTGTTAGCAGTGAAGTTATTACGTACTTGTGTTAGCATTGTACTTGTTTTCACGTAATTCTGTTAGCAGTGAAGATGTTATCACGTACTTGTGTTAATAGTGATGTTGTTATCACGTACTTGTGTTAATAGTGATGTTGTTATCACGTTCTTGTGTTAATAGTGAAGTTGTTATCATGTAACAGAAAGGTTGTAATCACATACTAGTGTAAGCATAGGTAATTAGGTACAACTACATTGGTAAGGCTGTCAAAAAGTGCCACTTCTGCGGAAGTTGTTGCCACTTAGGTTTTCAATTAAATTAAGTACGAATACTTTAAATAGCTGAGAAATAAAACACCGCTTACTTGTACTGGCAGCTGTGTTATAGCTTGTGCTGGCAATGAAAATAGGCACAAGTACATGTGTAGGCTGATAAAATATAGCGCCACTATCTTGTACTGGCAGCGTAAGTTGATACCACTCGTGTTAGCAGCAGATTGGTAAATCTGTGTCACTCAATTGTATAGATATTATTCGGAAAATCGGCAAATGTCCATGGGTTTTCCATAGGTAATCCGTAGGTACAAGCTAACTTTTACCGTTATAGCTTCACGGTGCACAACCCGCCACAATAGATTAGACAACCTGTTGCGCTTATTTTCGAAGCTGTAACACTAAAAGTTTGTTTGTACCTACATATATGCTGGGTCTTAATGCGGTAGTTGGTCTATTGGCAGCAGAAGTTGTTGCCACTAGCTGTGAAAATGTGTACATCTACCATGGACAGGTGAGAAATAAAGTGTTACGTACCTGCGTTGGCAGAGGAAGTTGGTCAGAAGCAATCAGGTGAGCTACGGCAACCATCTTCTCATTACATATTACTTGAATCACTGACATTAACAACGGCTGGCTATGAATGACTGTAACTTCAACAGGCATTGTTTCTCCAGATAAACTCTTCAACCTGGTTAAAAAAATTATATTTAAAACATTATAAAATAATAAAGGTATTAAAAGCAAGTAGGCACATAAACCTACTACATGTACAGTGTTTGATAGACAAATTTAAGAAACTGCATTAACTATATTCGTTTGTACACAGAGTTCTGACTGATCTAAAATGCATGTATGGTCACCTTTATTCTTTCCATTCCATTACGCATTAAGGAAATCGAGAAAATATAAAATGTGTGTTTGTTTCTTTAAGGCATATTAGATTCTCCTACATACTGGCACTAACCTTAAGACGATCCCTTACACTGACAGACACTCATACATACTGTCACAAACTTGAAAGATACTTGTACATACTGACACTAACCTTAGCTTGTAAGACACTCCTACATACTGATCCTACGTACTGACTACATCTTTAAAGACACTCCTACATACTGACACTAATTTGAAAGGCACTAGTACATACTGACTACAACTTTACGGACACTCCAGACACTCCTACATATTGACATTAACTTTAAAGATACTCCTATATACCGACACTAACCTAAAAGACACCCGCACATACTGACACTAACTCTAAAGACACTCCTACATACTCACAACAACTTTAAAGACACTCTTACATACTGACACCAACTTTAAAAAAACCTACATGCTTTCGCTTACGTAAGACACTCCCACACATTCACATTTACTTTAAAGACACTCCTACATACTAACACTAACTTGAAAGACATTCCTATATATTGACACCAACTTTAAGTTCACTCCTATATACCGAGACTAACTTTAAAGACACTCTTACATACTGAAACCAACGTCAAAGACACTCCTACATATTGACACCAACTTTAAAGACACTTTTACATACTTACTTACTTACTTGAAAGACACTCCCACTCATTGACATTAACTTAAAGGCACTGTTAAATACTGACACAAACTTGAAAGACCCTAGTTTATACCAGCACTTACTTGAAAGACACTCCTACATATAATGTTTTATCAATATAGTCAAATACAATGTATATCTGCTAACAGAAGATAAAAAAACTCCATATAAAAATAATTAATCCACCTAATAACATTTCACACGACAAGTTATACTAGTACTCATAAACTAAATGCCATACTTTCATAGACAATCAGAGAACAATGAGCAACATAAAACTTGTATACAAATAAAGCGCGGTGAATGTATCGCTCTGAGGAAATAAAAATAAGTTAACAAACTCTTACCGATGAGTAGCTGTTTGACAAAGGTTGCTTGCACCTTCAGGGCGACTTTCTAGAGCTACCGGACCAAAGAGTTGTTGGACATCTTCTGGAATGGTAACTGTTTTATATTGTCCTCTCTCAAGAAAGATTTGTACATTGTTCCGCAGAAGCATTTGTACCCTGCTGACGTGTTCAAATTCAAGCACAGAGAAATAGCCCTCAATATTTAAAGATATATTGTTACCAAGCGTGATATTCTCTTGTATTGTTCCACCAGATTTTGCAAATTGCCTTTGATTTATAATTGGTAGTACATTCAATGTACTAGATCCTAGAAAAGTTTCAGATTTACAGCAAGCAACTCCCGACAGACCATATACTTCAAACCGAATGTTATCAGCAGTTTTTGTATCTAACTTGTAATAACCAACTCTTGTCATTTCTATAGAGTCGGGTGCTTCAGAAGAGGAAGTAAACCGGCAAGTTAAAGATAGCCATGATTTAACTATTAAGAACCCTTTACAGATTGACCCTGTCAGTTTAACACTTCTGTATCTATTTGAATCCCCAGATGACATTGTCAATATCAGCTTGTTCAAAGAAATTGTACATATTTTGTTTACTGACATGTATTCTTTATCAAAGTTTAGATGTAACAGATCATCGACAACATGTAGGCGTCCCTGTGGTGGTGTACCTCGGTACATTGCTCCTGGTAGTGAGAAATTCTCGCCGTAAAATGTCCTCCAGTTTTCACTTGTCTCCTTTCCAGCCATATTAAGTTTAGAATCTTCACTTCTATCGTTCACATTGTCGTCGTGGTTAAATAAGTAGCCAATTATCCTAACCATGTCATCTTTGTAGACGACAGGATTAAGCTGATGGGTGTGCCAGATGAGGTCTATATCATAACACGGGACAAGGAAGTCTTGCTCAACTTTAGTTTTAATGTATAAGAACTGTTTGTACCTTAAAACAGAATGTTCTAGAAACATGCCATCTTTGAAATGTGGTAACGACACTTGATAGTAAAACACCGCCTGTCTCCCTGCCGCTCCAATGATGTCGTATTTGAACTGTGAAGCATATTGTGGAGCACCATGTTGATCATTTGTCGTAGTGAAGACTATGTCAAAAGGTTCGGCTTGTGTTTCATACTTTTGTAACCAATATTGTCGTGCCTCGTTTTGTTTTTCTATAAATGAAGCCTGATTATGAAGTGTATGATTTATAGTTATGCCAACGATTGTCTGACAATCTCTCTCATATGCTTCCGGGTTTAACATATGACAATGCCAAACCCACTCTATGTCTAATGGAGCGACAAGACATTCGTCGGTATGGTCAGCAGCTAACGGTAGCCAAAATTTTTCATATCTGTAAACGGCTCGCTTCAGTACGTTTGTTTGTTTTAGTTCTGGTATATTTTCAATAGTTTTCAAAAACTGCAGATGGTACTTAGCTTGTTTGTATAAGTCCACATTAAAATGCAGTTTCTCGGCCTCTTCTTTGTTAGCCATGTCTAAATATAGAGACAAGATAAATCAAATATATTGTACATGCATATTAATGTCAGTTTTTTTTTAAAAAAGGGATGACATCTCATTTGTTACAACTACATGACAATTTGAACATCTTATGTGTTTTCATAAATGTGTGCCAAAAACAAATATCACGGGACATTTTTGGCATTTTATAAAGTTTCACTTAATCTCACCTTTCAAGTATTTCACGTGATTCCTCATCATAACAGATTAAAGGTCGACCTATTGATACTAAGATTTTATTTACACAATGTACACTTAACGTAAAACCACAACAGAATTTATAAATTCACGTGAAATCTTACGGCGCATACGGTACTCCGTAGAAAACCGAACCAATATATGATTATACATCAACACTTAAATGCGAAAAAATCGATTATTGTCTAGACATTACTTTTATTTCCCTTTAATTAAGCATCTTTATATTAGAATTAAGCCGCAATTAAGAAACTTTATCCACCAAATACATAGCATATATTATACATGAGGTGATATTATCCTACCTGTTAATAACACCAGGTAAAATTCCTCTATATGTCCAGCTGTAAATTAGTGAAATGCAAAAATAGATATTGAATTTTTGCATTTTATGCTAAAATCGATTATTTTCTTTATATTTATTTCCCTTTAAGCAACTTTATATTAGAATTAAGTCTCACATAAGATAGTTTATCCGCGAAATTGCACATATTATATCAGGTGATAACATCTTACCTGTTTACGCCAGGTAAACTATAGAGTCCAGTTGTAAATTAATGAAATGCTATATATAGAGATATTGGATTTACATTCTTTAGCTTGTAGTCTGTTAAATGATAAAATATGTAGTTCAGTTAGAAAACATTTGTTATCGCAAACACATATGTCCCTTATTAATTATATATAACTATTTATATTTAACTCAACTTTATCGAAAAGTTCACAGTTAAACTATAACGTTAGCAAGGTGGAGATTCAATACATAACTAGGTTGTCTTTAAATGGTTCAGTGACCGTTCTCCATTTTTAATACAATCTATTAAATAAACCAACTCAAGTAATATTACCATAAACATACAGGTGTTATTAAGTATAACGAATTGTTAATTAGACTATGCTACCTTGAAATCTTTAGTTATATGTCTGACATGCCCAAAGCGATGTTATCTAATATTTAACATGATGGGCTCAGTTTTTACCATTTTGTTCCCCAATGAATATAATGTTCCTTCGTACCGCCATCGAATATCTTCCGATTTCTCCGTACATTCCAGCAAGGGTCGTAGACTTTCGAACACTTTTCAAAGGAATTTACAAATTAAATTCATTTTATGGTATTTTAAGAATATCTTCATTTTCGGAAAATGAATGCAAGATGGATACCCCATTTGCTAACAGACGAACAAAAGAGAAGCCGTGTTGCAAATGCAAAAAGCTTCTCAAAATGTATACCAAATACTAGTATAACAAAAAGGCTTTCACCAACTTCTTTACTGGTGATACGACATGGGTTTACTATTTTGAGCCAAAGCGGAAATATTGAAATAGAATATGGGCCACTAAAAGTATTACCAACCGCCAACGCACTGTTTAAAAAAGTTTGTATGTGATTTTATTTGATAATAAGGGACCAGTAATGCAATTCCAGTACCAAAAGGCAGAACGGTAACCGGTAACAACAAAGTTCTACAAAAATGTTGTCCTGAAAAATTTAAAATCTTGCTACAAACGCCGCCGCAAAAGCACAGGAATCAAGGAACACCCCCTCTTTGGAAAGTCATCATTGATGATAAATTGATTTAGTTTCCATTTTGATGACGATTTCGGTCTATAAATCGGACATTATATCGACTTTCAAACAAGTTCCAGGAGTCAGGCATACCGGTCATGCCCCATCTTACACACATTTGTTTTCGTCACAAAAAGATTCAAATACATAAAAAGATCCCGTCTTGGTGACGATTCTAACTTACAACCTCACGTTAACACTATAGACCACTGAGTCAAATAACGGATTCCCTGACAGAATGTCTTGTTTAATTTGTACTTGTAGTAATGACAGAAGGTATGCATTCAACCGTAACATATATGGCATACGCACGCATGTGCTTTAGTAAATCAGATAGAGAGTTGAGCAACTACTACCTATTTTGCGATTATAATTAAGACAATTTTTGGGAACGATCATTAATTGCTTTTAATTCTTTTTTACGGTCGGTCAATACATTACAGATAAAACTTAAATCAAAATCTGTTCTGTTATATAAGTTTGATAAATTTATTTCAATATTCCATTGGACCAATATGGTCCATGAGGATAAACAGACGCATGATGGGTTATTTATTAGGTCTGAGAAGTTTGTACATGTGTATTACAAAATTCGTCATCATATGATTAAGCGTTCTGAATTATCATGCGTTGTTCTACTATGTGTCTCGATCGTTCAATTGCTCTGCAAAAGGTAGGTTTAGATCGTATTGTATGTGATTATATTTGACCTTGATGTCAAAATGCTTTGAGTTTCTTGGATCACACGATCCATATTTTCCTTGTGACTTTTCGAGATTCCATAGACAGAGAAGTGTTGTGACGTTAACGAAATAACGTGACCGAGTAAAGTCTTTGGTCTACCTCTGCCATAGGAAATATTGTGACTGTTTTATGTAAACACATGCCAAATGATGATTTACTTGTTTTATCAATAATTCAAATCTTTTGACAAATAAAAGAAAATATACAAAATTTGGGACCTAGATGTTACAATCATAACACCTTACTGATGCAAGACAAATATGAAAACTGATTATAGGATATCAAAATGAAGCGGAATATTGTAACTATTTTCTAAATTTGCCAACATCATTCCTTTTTTAAACATGAATGCATCTCTAACCCCAGATATTCTTCTTAATTATTTGATATACACTTCATCCACACCTATTATTGTAAAAATCATCATTACCTATGATATTTCTTCACCAACCCTATATTCAATTTGATGTTTACTAAAGCTAATTATAATTTCACAACTATGAAAACGTACCGGGGTTTTTATGTGCCGGAGAAATATGACATGAATTGCGTTGGTGCTCCCTGAAACCAAAACAAAACATACCTCAAGTGGTCCTTTTAGTTTTGGTGTTTTTTCTTCAAGCTAAAGGTCTTTGATTTTGTATATGTGTTTTGATACTTTTACTGGTAAACTGAATATTTTTCAACTTTATGAAATAGCAATGACATGAAAATTGATATTTTTTTCACAGTAACAAAAGGTCATAACTCATGTCAAGTAATATGACTATGTTTACATTTCATTTTTCCGTCAATAACTGAGTGAATTTGTTAACTCTTTTTAAAATTTGGACAATGTGTGGGCCCGGAGTTTTTGTATTTAACAAACATGTTCCTCTTTTCAGAAATATATATATGTTAACTGCTTTAAAAAATTATTGGAATGTGTTTACTTTGTATTTTATTTTACCATTATGTTATGCTTCAAATGTTCAATACCTTTAAATACATATGAGCAATGTATTTGACGTCAGATGCATTGGTAATTAATCAGTAAAATAATAACCAAAGTGAATATACATGTATATATGTAAATTTAAGCCTTTGATTGAGAAATTATATTAATGGTTTTGCAAATATAAATATCTGGAAGAAATTGAACCCTTGGAAGCATTAAAAACAGCAAAATTACATGAAAGTTGCAGACTCGATTAGCTTTAAGAATAAGGAAATCATCTAAAGTATTAATTCTAAACAGGACAGGAAGGTCTTCGCGCTTTAAAACAGCAATTAAAATTTTATTGATCACAAACAACAAATTATTTCAATTAAACATTTTTAATGCTGCATATACTTGAAAAAATATGTATGGTTTTGCAATGTTTAGAGACATGTCTAGTTTTTTGTGTATACTTTTATGGCACACTTGTAACGAAAAGACAAAAAAGTAACAATTGAATTTAGTTTAGGTTTTATTTAAGTTTTAAATTTTCATAAATGACCTTTTTGTAAAATGATTAAAACACAAAAGAAATGGAGTCTGAACAATTACAATGCGTATAAGGGCTAGTCAGGGTAGGAAGACAGCTTATGTAGCAAGCATCTTAAAAATCTACTAAACTACAATCCCTAAAGTGTACATGTAGATCGTTTGCGTGCATGCATCACCTTAAGTGTCTTTACAAAAGTTGTATAAGTCATGGCCCAGGAGTAAAAATAGGCCATTTTTCGGAGTCTTTTTGTTTATATGGAGTGATATAAAACACATTAAAATCTTCTTGTGGTTATAAATCATGTGTAATTTCTTAGTAGACCTGTACAAAGTTTTGCACTATTATGCATCTTAGTCAAATCGTCCCTGCCTTGTGGTTCACTAACTATCGTTAGGTTAATGAATATAAAACAAAGTTCGGACACGTTTCATGAGTTTGTCTCTTACCAGATTGAAATGTGATTTTTGGACACGTCTTCGAAGCCTTATTTCTATTGTCATATAGTCCAAAAAAAAACCTGTTTAAAATACATCATATGGGGTTAATCTTAGATCTATTTCATGTTCATATGCTATTTTGCATGTGTTAACTTCTATAAAGACTCGTTTACATGTAACCTTAACAACTAAATCAAAAATGCGAGCTTTGCTAATTTCGGACATAACCTTATGTTGCTTTGAATGATATACAATTTGTTTCAAATACCAAGTTACTGATTTTGTAGCATATTATTAATCAAATCCGCTATCACATCCTCCTCCACTGTCCCCACCGCCGCCACCACAACCACCACTGTCACAGTCTAATACAGAAATGTGTAAATGGTCAACGGCAAAACTTGAGGAATCACCAGTTCCACTTTTTGTCTCTGTACCGGAATAACCAGTGCCAGAGCGAGCACCTTTGTGTGATTTTGGAGTATAACTGTTAATACCATACTTTGCATGACTAGTCCCAAGACGAGCCCCTTTGCGGGGTTTTTTGGAAGTTTTTAAGTGGTTTTTTCCCCCCAATTTTTCCCCTATTAACAGTGCCAGAATTTTCCCAAATACCATACCTAACTTACCCACAAAAGGCGCCCGTTTTCCCTGCCTGATTTTGGGGCCCTCTAAAACCCGACACTTACCAATGGGCGGCTTTGATTGCCCCATGTTTAGGGCAGAAAACCTTGCTCCAAATCCAAACCCGGGTTTTGCTTTTTAGGATCATCACTTTTTCCTTTGCCTGAATTTTTTTCCACATATCTGCGTCACATTTTATTTTTCTTCCCCCACACATAAAAACTTTGGTCATTTTTAAAAAGTTCATTTAAAATTATGAATTTGAAGGCGTTTTTGCTGTGTAATCCTGGGGGCTATCATAAAACGGAAATGGTACTCATAGCTAACAACAGATACTGATTTATCACCTCGAAATAAACTTCCGGTCGGTTCTACCTTTTGACCATCTACATATCCTTCCGGTCTCGGTACACATAAAACATGTAAAAGAGAGACAGAAAATACAAGTGCAATATTTTCTGCTATTTCTTTGTTGGTTGTATCAATTAGAATAATGTTGCTTGTAATGTCGACTTCAAATCCTTCAATGGCCAGCTTATTAATGGGAGAATGGGCAACCTGGTTGATATCTGTTATCTTGTCGCTTGAAAACTTGTAAAATCTTGCCGTAAGCTGTCCACGATTTACAAACACAGCTCTTTCACCTGTGAAGAAATTATTTATTTAGAAACCAACCGCACAAGCAGACAAAATTTGTAAAAAGGCACAAGCGTACAAAATTTGTTATACTTGTACAAATTATTATCTTACATTACCATCACAAATGATTAGATTCCCGAGATTCCAATCATATATTTGTATCAATTGACATGATTATTTTATGCCTATTTTCAGCGAAATAAACTGAATTCGTATTTCTTTTTATTTCAAATATTGATATACATAGGCCCATCAATTTGATTTCGCCGATATTCGGCATTTTCTTGTTTTAGATCTATTATGTCATGTAATTAATACAATATTACACTCAATTCCATACTATACAGACGTGCATAAAAATGTTCCGGAAGAATTCCATATGGTATGCCATTAACTCGCCTTACAACACCTTTTCGACTCGAGAAATGGTGTACAAGATTATATAAAAATTACAACTTGTTTGACATCATACATTAAACTTACTGATTAATGATTTAAGAAAATATAACAAATATAAAATAAAAACAAAGATAAAATAAAAAAAATTGTTAAAAAATACAATTTGTACTCAGACACTACCTTTCATGCCTTTTTTAAAATATCTCCAACGACCTATAACGATTCCCCAGTCACCTTCGTTGTTCTTGATAAGGACGGCTCGCTCTCCTTCCTTCGGGTTAAGCTTTACATTAACTGCTACAACCTACAACACATCATCATCACAGTAAGTTTCCGAGGATCTTATACACTAATCAAACTTTCTATTTGCCTAAATTGTTACCTTCCCATTGAAAATATCTACCTAATTTTAATTGTAAGATTTAATGGTCCAATTTTTTAAGAATACTTTGTACTATTATTTACATTTAGGCATCCTTATTGGTGTTGCATGTTGATTGGAAAACGAAATGTAAATTTTGATTAACTCGAATACTAGTATGCTGTTTTTATCAGTACTTGGCGGTTTTTGGTTTCAGTTGTCCCATTTATTAAAATGATATGTTTACTTTTTTTGCATAAGGTATGTTTCCTCTTCAATATGTTGCCATCACGTAAAGAGGGTAAAAGGTACAATTACATTGTTGGCAGCGGAAGTTTCTACCATTTGTCTTTGTACAACTACATGTACTTTGGACAGGCTGAGAAATAAAGTGTCACTTACCTGTGTTGGCAGCGGAAGTTGGTCAGATGCAATTAGGTGAGCTACGGCGACCATTTTGTTATTGCAAATAACTTGAATCACTGACATAAGCAAGGACTGACTATGAAAGACTGTAACTTCAAAAGGCAATGTTTCTCCGGATAATTTGCTCTTAAACCTGGATAAAACAGATTATATATAAAACTGTATTAAATAATCAATATTTAATTCATTTAAGTACATACCTTAACTCGGTACAGAGACTGATGAACAAATATAAGAAAATATATTGACTAAAAACGTTTGTATGCTGTGTTCTGACATTTCAAAACTGAGCACCGATATTTTGTCTTTTTATTGCATTTCTAAAAATGCCTTTCATGCATATAAGGCCTCTTGCTACTGTTACTTTTGAGACACACCTATATAATGACACAAACTTGCAAGACACTCCGACATACTAACACCAGATTTAAATACACTCCTACACACTGACATTTTGAAAGATACTTCTATATACTGACACTTACTTGAAAGACACCTGTACATACTGACACTAACTTGAAAGATACTCCTTCATACTGACACATGAAGGACAATTCTGAATACTGACACCGACTTGAGACATACTGAAACTTGAAACACACTATTATATACTGACACTTACTTAAAAGACGGCCCTATATACTAAAACTTACATGAAAGAAACTCTTATATACTGACGCTAACTGAAAATACTCTCCTACATATAAGCATATACTTTTAAAGACACGCCTATAATTATGTATAAAACTCTAAATAGAAAAACACTAGGATATATTGACAAAAACTTGAAAGACACACACCTATTTGAATGACACCGATACATACTGACACTTATTTGAAAGATACTCCTACATACTGGGATTAACTTCAATAACATTTCTACAAATTGACCCTAAACTGAAAGATACTGCTAAAAACTGACACACTCCTAAAAATTTATACTCATGCTCCGAGGTATACGGAATTACTATTAGAACTGTTCCCAGTTTCATCTCTGAAACCATGGGAAGACAGTCCTTATACTAACACTGATTTGAAATAAAAAAATTATGTTTCAAAGGCAATTGCTTATGGCAATTTTTCAACTATTTCTTGTTATATATAGTACAATTTGATTTTACATGGTGTTTCACATACAGATACCTTTCATGAACAGACTCATCAAAGATTTTACATTCACCTTATTCGTCATTATAGTTTATTTTCACAACTTAGCTTGCGTGATCTCCTATCAAACAGATTGTTTTTCAAAAATCAGGCTTTACTGTCAAACATATAAAATAATAGACGACAATATAATATCTCACCAAATTAGTTTATTCATCTCATAATCTTTCACAAGGGGGCATACTCTAAGAATATATTTAATATTTTCAGAGAAGAAAATCATGAAACATTGTGCGATATACAAAGTCTAGATCGCCAAAAGGAAATAAAAATATTAATTTAAAAATGAAATCTTACCGATGTGTAGCTGTTTGACATAGGCTGCTTGCAATTTCAGGACGACTTTCTAGAGCTACCGGGCCAAAGAGTAGTTGAACATCTTCTGGAATGGCAACTGTTTTATATTGTCCTCTCTCAAGACAGATTTGTACATTGTTACGCAGAAGCATTTGTACCCCGTTTTCGTGTTCAAACTCAAGTGGCGAAAAACAGCCCTCAATATCCAAAAATATATTGTTACCAAATGTGATTTTCTCTTGTATTGTTCCACCAGATTGTATAAATTGCCTTTGATTTATAATTGGTAGCACATTCAATGTACCAGATCCTAAAAAAGTTTCAGATTTACAGCAAGCAACCCCCGACAGACCATATACTTCAAACCGAATGTTATCAGCAGTTTTTGTATCCAACTTGTAATAACCAACACTTGTCATTTCTATAGAGTCGGGTGCTTCAGAAGAGAAAGAAAACCGGCATGTTAAAGATAGCCATGATTTAACTATTAAGAACCCTTTACAGATTGATCCTTTCAGTTTAACACTTCTGTATCTATTTGAATCCCCAGATGACATTGTCAATATCAGCTTGTTCAAAGAAATGGTACATATTTTGTTAACTGACATGTATTCTTTATCAAAGTTTAGATGTAACAGATCATCGACAACATGTAGGCGTCCCTGTGGTGGTGTACCTCGGTACATTGCTCCTGGTAGTGAGAAATTCTCGCCGTAAAATATCCTCCAGTTTTCACTTGTCTCCTTTCCAGCCATGTAAAGTTTAGAACCTTCACTTCTATCGTTCACATTGTCGTCATGGTTAAATAAGTAGCCAATTATCCTAACCATGTCATCTTTGTAGACGACAGGATTAAGCTGATGGGTGTGCCAGATGATGTCTATATCATAACACGGGACAAGGAAGACTTGCTCAACTTTAGTTTTAATGTATAAGAACTGTTTGTACCTTAAAACAGAATGTTTGAGAAACATGCCATCTTTGAAATGTGGTAACGACACTTGATAGTAAAACACCGCCTGCCTCCCCGCCGCTCTAATGATGTCGTATTCGAACTGTGAAGCATATTGTGGAGCACCATGTTGATCATTTGTCGTAGTGAAGTCTATGTCAAAAGGTTCGGCTTGTGTTCCATACTTTTGTAACCAGTATTGTCGTGCCTCGTTTTGTTTTTCTAAAAATGAAGCCTGATAATAAAGTGTATGATTTATAGTTATGCCAACGATTGTCTGACAATCTCTCTCATATGATTCCGGGTTTAACATATGGCAATGCCAAACCCACTCTATGTCTAATGGAGCGACAAGACATTCGTCGGTATGGTCAGCAGCTAACGGTAGCCAAAATTTTTCATATCTGTAAACGGCTCGCTTCAGTACGTTTGTTTGTTTTAGTTCTGGGATATTTTCAATAGTTTTCAAAAACTGCAGATGATACTTAGCTTGTTTGTATAAGTCCACATTAAAATGCAGTTTCTCGGCCGCTTCTTTGTTAGCCATGTCTAAATATAGAGACAAGATATAGATAAATCAAATATATTGTACATGCATATTAATGCCAATTAATTAAGAAAGTATGACCTTTACATTTGACATACCTACATGAACATTTAAACATTTAATATATGTCCATTAGTGGTATGTGTCTCAGAAACAAACAACACGCAGAATGGTGCTAACATTTTTTAAACCTCAATGTAAAGTATTTTATGTAATTCTTTAACATAACTGAATGTAGTTCGACTTTATGTCTGCACCATGTTCACTTAATATCATATGAATCCGATTATAATTATGGCGCTTACAGTACTCCGTAGAAAGCCGAACGTATCAATGACCTAGAAAATCAATGTTTAGTGTACATTTTGTGTTTACTTAATTAACACCACCTTACTGTCAGCGTACTTAACTACGTAACATCTAGTATTAACTCCACATTCTTTTTTATCTCTTTCAACTTTATATAAGAATGAAGCCCTCTTTTTAAACATTAAATTTCTTGTGATAAAAGATAATTATTGTTTTCCTACCTGTATACGCTATGTTCAGCTGTTATTAAATAAGTGAAATGCTAGATATTGGATTTCTTCTCTATAGCCTGTATTCTCGCAATTTATGGATTTTATGGTTAAAAATGTTAGTTCATTTAGAACACAATTGTTTAGTCCCTTTAACATAATCTTCACATTCCTGTATTACACTTTCTGTATTTTAACTATAAACCAGTGTATTAACCGGACTGTATTAGCAAGGCATAGTGTCTATATATAACTAGGTTGCCTTTAAAAAAGGTTCATTGACCTTTGATTCAACTTAATGTAAATATGCATGGGCGTTAAAATACAGTTAATGTTTATACATGTATATTGTGTTTTTACAAAATTAAAATAAGGAACGGTAGAAAAAAAATATGATGAACTTAACATTTTTTAAGAGATTAATGAATAAGATTGAGACAACTTGTAAAGACAAGAAACATGCATTTGTATCTATCTTATTTTTAGACGAGTAATATAGCCTTATGATACTAATATCATATAAACGCGAAATAACTAGTGACCGTAAAAATACTATTTGAAAATTGAAGACGTAGATCTATTGATACGTAAAAATTATACTAAAACGAACTGAGAGTAAAGCAACTATAGCAACTATAGTACTTAGCGATTATATAAATAACGCATGTTTTGGAGGGTGGTAGGAGGGATGGAATTTTACCCAGCATTTAAAGTCCTTTTTATGCTTGCTATATTCTATTCCAAGAAATAAGGTTATTTATTGTTTATATTTTGTATAATTATACATGCATATATTTTAAGTTTCATAGGGGGTATTTAACAGGACATCACTTCGTGTAGTTTGCGCCTTGATCACGTGAAGTACGAACAGATTACGAACAATATGATAAAATTTCTATCATTTTATTAACAAATACAACAAATTTTGCATTGAAGGTGTTTTGATTTGAATTGATTGTTTCAGTAGGAATAGAACGTTTAAACAAACTACCACGAAAACACCGCCATCTTTTCTCTGTGGCTTTATTCTGATTCGATACAATCACCCCACACATCTTAATAAGTTATTAAAATATAACATCGTATCTTAAATTGATATTATGATTATTAAACATTAAACACATTAATTAATATAGTTAGTTAACATTTTATGAGATGATAAAAAGGAACGTACGCACAGTTTTCTACTAATAATGTCTTAACTATATATCTAATAAATACTTTCGAATGTAATATAGCGTCAGACTGAATGGAATTTGAGAATAATCAGTATATATATATATATATATATATATTGGTCAGCCATGGGATATATACAGAAACAACTTTAGTCCAAATCGTTATTTTTGTAGCGTAATTTTACATCTATAGATCTGCGTTCATTTAGGTTCTAATTAACACTTTTCTTGGCAACGTGCACATAATTATAACAATACGATTATTTACGTATATAGTCTGCTGTCTCCATTGATTCCTATATCATTTAGAAAGAAAGAAAGAAAAAAAAAACACTTTAAATCTTTTATATTCTTTTATCACTGTAACACTTTTGCGACTCCGTGAAAATGATATTGTGCGGCCGTGCATATATTTTGACGTGACGTCAACATCTTTGAGACGCTTTTAATGTCAGCGTTACACATTCAGCGTGTCGATGAAAGAGTGATACTTTTTCAATGTAAACAGTTTTTATTTTCGGTATATGGTCAATAGAATATGATAATTGTGTACTTTCGAATTTATTACTTAATATATTGAAGGAGTTGGATAAAATAAAATTATGCAAGTCTCAACTCCTTAATCATATTCAGTAATGAACCTACCTTCACTCAACATCCTCTATGAATCCTCTATTTATGATATTACTTAAAAAAGCTATGTTTACCCCATTTGATGGCTTATTTATTAGGTCTGAAATGTATGTGTTACAAAGCGAGTCATAAAGTGACTAATCGTCCGCACATTTTCAGTTATCATACGTTGCGCGCCAAGCAAGCTTTATTATGTGTCACGTTCAATTGCTCTGCAAAAGAATGGTTTAGATCGTATTGTCACCTTGATGTCAAACTGATTTGAGTTTCTTGGATCACAGGAACCACATTTTCCCGGTGACGCTTCGAACTTCCATCGTCTGAGCAGTGTTGTTACATAAACGAAATAACGTGACCTAGTAAAGTGTTCACCGACACATCTTCGCCTACCTCTGCCAAATGGAAGCCAGCCGGAAAATATTGTTATAATGTTATTTCTTATGTTTATTTAAACACTTGTTAAGTGATTTAGTTGTTACATTAATTTGCCAAATGTATCGACAGAAAATAAATAAATAAAAACAGAGCCCGAGATGTGAGAGGAGACATTTCTTACAATCATAACAATCTATTATTGCAAGTCAAATATAAAATCTGGCTTTACGATATTACAATTCATACAAATCTTGCAACACCTGTCTAAATCGGCAACACCATGCTCTTTCCAAATATACGTTCATCCCTTACCCTATATATTTAAGAAAATTCATGACTGTTATGACTACATATCTTTGTGAATTTCTATACATATGATATATTAATTATTATTTACTCTTCATCAACTCTTTTGTTTAAACGAATTTATATGTATGTAAACGAAATCTTATTTATGCTGATTAATTATCACACAACTTTGAGAACTTACTTCTTTCTAAGAACATGATCACTAGAAATTAAGAATCCTTGACCGTTAAGCCATCGCTCTGGTCTGAAGTTCCAAGGATCGCCCCATATCTTCTCATCATGATGTATATACCAAACATTTCCTACCAACTTAAACACAAAGTTATATCATTAAATAATACATTATTACCGTTTGAATCCTCCTCTATCTAGTGACTTTTATCAAATCAATTGTAAAATGCAGTTACTAATACTGCCGCATCTTTTACAATATCATTCACTTATGAAGCATACTTGTTTGACAAATGACTATATGAATAATATCAAAAATTGCTCTGATAACTTAAAAAGAAATTCTTAAAACACTTACAATACTGTCCTTCGGTAAGTTGTACCCTTCAAACATTAGATGGTGTTTATTACTTCGAGGTAACAATAATGGAAATCCGGTAACATATCTATGAACTTCCATCTCAACTGCCTCTAATGTTGGACATTTTGCCTTGTCACCATACTCTAAGCTCTTATTATAACACGCTACATTGCTCAGTTCCTCAAATATCTTATCTTGGTATTCCGGATGGTTAACTAAGCACAGAAATGTATTGACTATAGCTCCCCACGTTGTCAGCATAACTTAAAAGAGAAAGGAATACACAACAGTAATGAATTATTCTTAAATAATTTATCAAGTGTTTCCCACGTTGTCAGCATATCTTATGTGGAAAGGGGGTACAAAATAGTACTGAATTATTCTTGAATCATTTTTCTATTGTTCCCTTCGTTGTAAGCATAACGTAACTGAATAAGGAATACAAAACAGTACTGAATTATTCTTCAATCATTTATCTATTGTTTCCCACGTTGTCAGTATAACTTAAGTGAATAAGGAATACATAACCGTACTGAACTATTCTTCAATCATTTATCTATTGTTTCCCACGTTGTCAGTATAACTTAAGTGAAAAAGAATACAAAACAGTACTGAATTATTCTTCAATCATTTATCTATTGTTTCACATGTTGTCACTATAACTTAAGTGAAAAAGAATACAAAACAGTACTGAATTATTTTTCAATCATTTATCTACTGTTTCCCACGTTGTCAGTATAACTTAAATGAAAAAATAATACAAAACAGTACTGAATTATTCTTCAATCATTTATCTATTGTTTCCCGCGTTGTCAGTATAACTTAAGTGAAAAAAGAATACAAAACAGTACTGAATTATTTTTCAATCATTTATCTATTGTTTCCCACGTTGTCAGTATAACTTAAGTGAAAAAAGAATACAAAACAGTACTGAATTATTTTTCAATCATTTATCTATTGTTTCCCACGTTGTCAGTATAACTTAAGTGAAAAAAGAATACAAAACAGTACTGAATTATTTTTCAATCATTTATCTATTGTTTCCCACGTTGTCAGTATAACTTAAGTGAAAAAAAGAATACAAAACAGTACTGAATTATTCTTCAATCATTTATCTATTGTTTCCCACGTTGTCAGTATAACTTAAGTGAAAAAAGAATACAAAATAGTACTGAATTTATCTTCAATCATTTATCTATTGTTTCCCACGTTGTCAGTATAACTTAAGTGAAAAAAGAATATAAAACAGTACTGAATTATTCTTCAATCATTTATCTATTGTTTCCCACGTTGTCAGTTTAACTTAAGTGAAAAAAAGAATACAAAACAGTACTGAATTATTCTTCAATCATTTATCTATTGTTTCCCACGTTGTCAGTATAACTTAAGTGAAAAAAGAATACAAAACAGTAATGAATTATTCTTCAATCATTTATCTATTGTTTCCCACGTTGTCAGTATAACTTAAGTGAAAAAAGAATACAAAACAGCACTGAATTATTCTTCAATCATTTATCTATTGTTTCCCACGTTGTCAGTATAACTTAAGTGAAAAAAGAATACAAAACAGCACTGAATTATTCTTCAATCATTTATTTATTGTTTCCCACGTTGTCAGTTTAACTTAAGTGAAAAAAGAATACAAAACAGTACTGAATTATTCTTCAATCATTTATCTATTGTTTCCCACGTTGTCAGTATAACTTAAGTGAAAAAAGAATACAAAACAGTACTGAATTATTCTTCAATCATTTATCTATTGTTTCCCACGTTGTCAGTATAACTTAAGTGAAAAAAGAATACAAAACAGTACTGAATTATTCTTCAACCATTTATCTATTGTTTCCCACGTTGTCAGTATAACTTAAGTGAAAAAAGAATACAAAACAGCACTGAATTATTCTTCAATCATTTATCTATTGTTTCACACGTTGTCAGTATAACTTAAGGGAAAAAAGGAATACAAAACAGTACTAAATTATACTTTCCTCTTTGATCTGCTTTATATTTTAGCACTTTATTATTCTGGTTAATGACATACAATAAGTCTTGTTTTCTGTCATCAGGTACGGCCTTTACTTATATAGCTAAAGAAAGATTGTGCATATTCACATTTAAATCGAGCAGAGGCCTTTTCAACAAATGCTGGAAATAGTTCACAATTGTGTTTGAATATATATTTAGTTATTACATACCGGAAGCGCATAGCTCAAGTATCTGGCAAATTATTTTTTCATCTGTGAAGAATATTTCCTTTCCAGATTCTAGATCTTCGTTTTGTTGCTTGATGTAAAAATCTACAAATCCTCGAATAGTTCCAGGTGTATAGCTTTCCTAAATAAGATTACAAGAGGAGCTAGATATATCTAATGTTTATGCAAATGATTAAACATTCAGTATTCAGTGAAATTGTAAACTTTTAAGTATAATCACGCTAAATATCTAAAATGGAACGATCATTTTTTAATTTGGACAAAACTATTTAATTGGGAAAATTTCAAAACAGATACTGACTGAATAGCGAACAGTGACGCCTGATCTTGGTACGCACTGGTCGCAAAGGTTTATTCAGTTGCTACAAGCAGGTTGAGGATAAAATATATATGCTATAATTCTCCGTAACATGTTACACATTACAAATAGAATTTACTGGCAATAGCAAGCTTGAATTTGATATTGATATTTTTCATAATATCATTTATTTGTTAGATTAAATCATTTATTGAGCAATTTAATTTAATGCCTTTTAACGTTATTACGTTACCTTTTGATGTATAAAAAACCTTTGGACAATGACGTGCTTTGCTCTCAATATTGTGGCTAGGTAGGATGCATAAGGTCCCGGAATCTTGTGTAGAAACGGAAATGAAGTCAACATGTTGTTTATGCTAGGATTCACCATTATGTTCACCATATCCGTGTACTCAATTATTGCTACCAAACCATCGTCGTTATCGTTACAAATCTCACCAGTCAACTGAAAGTTCATATAGTGTATACTGCAGCCATTTTGTGTGCATTGAGTATAGTAACACAGATGATGTTAACGGTATCAAGATATGTATATGTTAGTGTTCATCCTTGCTGTTCTACGGAAATGAAAAACTTTTTTACGGAAGCGATAGCGACCGGACAATATTTCTAATTTATTTCTGTAGAACAGTTACATACTTAGTATCAAACTTTATTTGGCTTTAAAATATTTTACTATTTTTACGAACGCAGTTCTATGAAGTACTATGAAAAATAGAAGGTGACTATGATCAGAGTTTTATATAATATCAACTTTTGTTCTTCAACGCAAATTAACACAAATACAGCGTTTTCACTAGATGACAAATAAAGCTGGATACTAAGTAAAAATAGGAACAAAGTTATACTCACGTCTTATTACGATTCAGGTAATACTTTTTGAAATGATTACTTTCTTGCTTAGTAAATGTCATCCATATTTTTCATGGTATTATACGCCAGTCCACACAATATTATTGAATGGCAGATAAAGCTATTGATTATATCTACTATTGACAGAAATGGAATTTCTAAAGAACGCACAAACAGCAAAATTTGAAGTGTTGCAGACTCAGTTTGAAAGAAAGAATCCTACAGAACTTGTATTTTTTTTAATTACAATTATTTAAATGAACTGACATTAAGGATTGTATACGGCATAAGTAACGTCTGCTTCGATATTATTTCTCCAATATTGCATGATTGTACTTATATAAAGAATAATCATATACCTTTTTATTCATGTTTCTGTTATTTTCTTAGTTAACATTAAATTAAACTTTTATTGAATAGCGAGAAAAACACTTTAAATTCAACAAAGAATTACCACAAATGCGAGAACTCTTGTCAATGATTTTTGTATCATGCTTGTGAATTCGAAAGCCGTCCCTGCATGAAGTTTAATGTCTTTTGCCAGATCATCCTCTATCAGCGTCTTAAGATCAGCGTCAAATGATGAACAATGTCCATGTTCAAACGCATAAACCGCCCTGGCAAACCCTTTTCGCAGATTATCGTGAGTATGACAGTAACCGTCCTTGTAGAATGCAGTGCTTTGTGAACCAAAGAGAATGTTTTCACCATAGAAAGTTTCTGGTCTATCATTCAAGTATTGTTTGTATTTATCTTCCGAAATCGCATTAATTAAGTCACTTGAATTCAGTAAAATCACATTGTTTTTCAGCAGTTGAACTTCACATATATCTCCATAACTCTTTGCGAATTCTGCATATTTGACATGAGTGTTTTCTGCACTCAAATAAAAGGAACATCCGAATATAGGTAAACCTTTTGGGCCAGGAATCTGCTTTCCCTTTGTTTTAGAGTTTATTAACTGGTACAGCATTAGAAGAAATCCAAGCATTAGAAATATAAAATGAATCATATTTAACAAATTAATCAGTACATTCTACATCATAAACGTAAGGTGAAATCAATTTAGACCGAGGCCTAATTATTGAAAAATTTCAGGTATTTTATTTGGAGCAGTCCAATGATCTCTATTTAAATATCCAACAAGTATTACATTCAACCGAACAGTGAAAACCTCAAAAATTGTATGACCTTTACATTGAAATGTCACGTTCGTTTTATAATTTATGAGGAACACGATTTGAAATATTTCGATTGGTATCAATTTTACAATATTACATTATAAATTCAAAATAATTAAATGCCTAGTGCGAATGTACCCAAAGATTAACTTAATGAAGTACCGTTGAATCGATTAGATTTTATCTTTGATTTTTTTTATGGGATATTTTTTTCTATTATATACTATTATGAGGCTATACATGGTTGGGTATACTATTAGATGTCTGCCTAACCGAGTCTAATATATTTTTTGCAGCTTTGTACGAGTCCAATAGAACCAACAATGGTCTCTACAATGAATAATGACCCTTTTTCACATTTTTGACAATTTGACAGAATTCTGTTACTTCAAATATAATAAGGAATTGATTTTGAATTTTTTACTCTGAATATTAAATGTGGCTAAATAGATATGGCATACATTTGATCATAAACCGCGCAAATGATGTTACTTCAAATTAAATGGGTTTATTACACTCCTGTGCCGTTTTTTTCAAAATGATATATTTATTATAAATTGACAGATACGAGTACTTAGCAATTAAGTTGCATCATGTACTTTTTCCATTATACCTCATATAATTAGGTGATAATATTTTAGTCTAATAATGTTCCCACTTATATCATTTCCGATTATTACAAACTAACACCATAATATTTTGCTGATTCTGTATCAATTTATGTAGCATGTGACTTTTAGCGTAATCATTATAATGCATCTTGTGAATGAATTCATCAATTGTACTAATAAGTTATGGTATGAACAGGATTGTTTTTCATAAACCAATTGGTTTGATTGGTCAGGAATGCACACATTTCTAATTATTTAGAAACGACATGTCTAATAAGACTGATATTCAGAAAAGATCGTGTGATTCTTCATCAATTTGCTACATCCAATTTCACAAATCCTATAATAAAAGTACAATCTCTTTCATTACGTAATTCAACAACGAAATTACAAAGTCGCCGTTTCAGCAGGTTTCAATCAAATCATGGTGTTTTATGCAGCAAATCTAATACTCTCTTACAATTTGCTTTCTTATAATATTTGAAGAAGGATTTGCTTAGTCTAAAATTATTCTATAAACAAATTCCGCCAAAATTATAACCATCATTAAACAAGGAGTAATTTCATAGCATTTTGGATTCCAAACAGGAATTCGGAAATGTCACACTTTGTTGGCATAATTGCATATTGACTGCTGCCTTTTCAAAAATAAGTAATAATGCGAGCATTTGGAACATCGTTCCTTTCCTGAGTCTTTATACAAAACATCCATAAAGTCTGAAAAAATGGAGCATGTGAAATATCATAACATTTAATCTACTTAGAATATGAATTGACAAAATATTGTTCAAAATAATTATGATCAAGTTTACTAGTAAGCAAATTACAAAAAGTGAAATCCAATAACAGAATCACTTTGAACTTTCCTTATTTAGCATCGAGTATTAGAGAAGAATATCGAGATGAAGACTCCACATTACGTCTATCTCAAAGATAAGTTCATGTATATAGAACATGTGTTTTGTTTGGTTCAATATATAAGTGGGTTAGAAAGTTATAACTTTAACATATTTGTTTGACTTTTATTGCCCTGGAGAGGCATTACCTTCTACGCAATTTTATGATAAAGTAAATAAAAAATGTAATTCTTCAATCATCTATTTTAAATTATTTTAAGTGGTTTGATCATGGCAGAACTTTTTTCTCTCTGTTTTTAGACATCTGCAAAATAATCCAAGATGTATTTTATACATAGGAAATATTTACATTTTACTGACACAGGCATTTAGATAAATTGCATTTTCATTTGCTACTTGATAGTTCCTTGGGGCATTCGTGGCCCGGTGGTTAAGGTCGTTGACTATAAACCACTTGCGCCTCACCTGTAGATTTGAATCCCACTAGGAACTTTGGAGACTTTCTAGTAAGGAAGCTATAAATGTCAATAGTTATTCTCCGGTGCCCTTCCCAGATGGTCTTCCTCCACCAGTAAAGCTCGAAGGCCGCAATATGATCTCTACTATTAGACATAATTCTACAAACACCCAATCCCTGAAAAATCCATAAACACGGAATGTTGATAATAATTTGTTTAGAATTATGTTCGTTTCGACATTTGAGAATGTTAAATAACATCAATAAGTAATTTTTGTTCTTATCAAAATCCATTCTATCTATTGAATATACATCGAATATGATTTGTGAATCAGTGATAAAATTTCACTAGGAATTTCTGTAATATTGCAATGATGCTGAAACAAGTCCTGATGAATATCAAGCAAATATGCTGATAATGTTAGTAAAATACGTTATTAACTAAATTTATTACTCATTTATACTACCTCACAAGGAACATATTTGATATCATGTTAAGATTGTAACAAAATACGCCCATAACAAAGAGCAGACACTTTAAAATCGTAATCGTGTAATCGTTATTGATTGCAATTTATTACTATTTGTTTGTTAGGGTAATCGAAAGTATCGAATACTGTTTTTGGTGTTATCGTTATTTTATTGATTACATTTTTAAGTTATCTTCTTATAACTGTTAAAGAGCGCAATGATGACATTCATCTTATATTGGGCATCTTAATCGTTTGAAATTTTGCAATTATTTAAATATTGATATTGTCATTATTCTTTTAACATCGAAGTTATGTTTGATTTAGCTTTTCTGAACTTTTAATAGATACTTCTTGTAAACATCTTTCACACTTTATAAAAAACAATGGGAAGCATTTTCGCTCAGTTTAAAAATAAATCATTAAATGTTATAAAGGAAAAGTTATCTGGCTACATACGAGTATAACAGCATTCTTTTGTTTTCATGACAAAGATTTTAATCAACCAATTCAGTAAATCAGGGAATACAAAACAAAATGTTTGCCTGTTTTAATTTAAGCGCAGAAAAATGATGATATCTAACGTTTAACCTCTACGCGAACGCTGCGCAAACAAAAGAAATTCAAGATTTTACTCATAATTGCGGTGTTACTTTACTGTCAACTTTTAAGTAAAGAAATGATATTTTAATTAAGAACTATGTCATAAAGAACAAAACGTAACAACTATTTTTACGATGTATATGAGTATTAGTATATTTTTAGATTGGGAAAATCCAATTCAACCAGAATTATCATGCATCACTGTGGAAATGGTTTGCTTTAATTGATCATGAATGTAATAGGAAATTAAAGCAATGTGACACTTTCTATGCACCTAATAAGCAAATCAGCAAAATGAGATAACTTTACCCACGAATATATTGAGTAGATAACGATAATAAAATAGATAACATGTTGATTGGTCACATAACAGCGGAAAAAAACCTGATGCAAATAAACTTTATCTGGACGTTTGACTGAAGGCAACATAGCACGCTCATGTAAAATGTAAGTTGAATGGAAGTTAAAAGACGATACACAGGTGGAATATTGTAAAGCCTTTAAACGTTTTCCTGTATTGAAAAAAAAATCACAGATTGAGTCTATCATTTAACAAGCACCTGGCAGCTTTCAAGAAAATTTTTATGATATCCCACATCTGTGCGATCTGTGCGATAATCTTGTTCCCATTTTCCAAATCGATTCTCAATAACTATAAGATATTATTATACACATAATATTAAGTATTCCTGTCCAATGACAACAACTTCTGCGCACTTTTCTAACATCGCCTGATTTGATAGATTGCATATAAAATGCAGTTTTTTGTTTTTGTATTAAAAATTAAACTATTTGGTGCTAAAAATTAAATTGTATAAAACTTTATTTTCCCGGGCAATCTCCGAAAAATAAATATTGCTTTCCAATCAGCATTTTATGTTGGTACAGAAAATTTGAGTCTTGCAAAGATTTAGTCTTTTTGTTTTCTGATTGGGTTTAAAGTCAAACCGACACTATAGAGGTGACATATAAACGACATTTAAAGTATGTTAACTGTTATATGAGTAAATGTTATAAGTAAAATATAGTTTAAAGTTTCATGTTTAATCAAAAGACTTCAATATGTAATTTTGGCACCAAGATTAATAATATAAACGTGAGCAAATATATAAAGATATGACATTGTTGATCTGTGTTTAAAAATAATTATGCTAATTTTATACTTTGATATATGATTAACATCCACACATCGTAAAGATTGAATATATTTAAGTCAGATTGTTGTGTTTTGTATTGAAAGTTGCAGACAAACTAGAACGTTAATTGAACATTTGGAAGATTTTGAGAAACAAATCTAATTTAGATCAACACCAGCTGTAAAAATTAGAGAATACTAATAGTTTAAAACAATTTCTTCGTGTTTTACTATACTGATTTATAGGCACTACGTGAATGCCAATTGTATTAAAGCACATACATTAACTTTACAAAATTTTTAAAGGTATATTTATTATGATCAGCAAATTGTAGCTTTCTACAAACCAAACAAATGTTAAGTCAATTGAGAACTTCTTTGATTGAGTGATTAATGACAGTCTGTAATGAATTGAATAGCTGAGCAGCATAAAGCCTGCTCTGTTCTGCTTTCTGGCTTTATTTAAGGTGAAGAATAACTTTCTTGTCATGAATTATGATCACAACAAGACAATTCCTTCTTTTTCTTCTTTTTTTAAACATTTTAGTCTATGGCCCTTTTTATAATATTTTTGAGACTCGAACATCCCAAAACTTGGTGGCTTCCAAAGAGTTTTTCAAAATCATCTTTATTCCACCTCACTACTAAGTTTACATTTCAGTCCCAATTGTTCTGAAATGACATTCAATAGGCCTCCA